TTAAATTATTATTATTATTATTATTATTGAATAACATTTTGGGCGTTTTCATAAGCAGTTTAATACTTATATACAAATTCAATCTACTGTATAATTATCAATATATTATTATATTATATTTTTTGTATTTAACTTAATCATTATTATTATTATTATAGTAATAATCATTATTTAACTTACGAGGAGTTAGTTTTTTTTATTTATCTCTTATAATAATAATAATAGCGTTTTAATAATAATTAAAAATCTTATACTGTATATATAAAAATGCATACATTTATATTTATTAAATATTAAATTATATTTTTGTTTATTTTTTAATTTAGTTAACACTTGAAAACAGTGAAAATGAGGTTTTTGTRTATATATTAATAATTGGTTATAAAGTATAAATCTTATGTAAAATAAATAATAAAACAAGAAATTAAAATTATTTATATATATGTTTTTTACTAATATATATTAATAATAATAAAAATAAATATTAATTTTTTATTTTTAAATATATTTTATATAATTTATAGCCTTTTATTATTATTATTATTATTATTATTATTATTATTATTACTTTCCATTACATTCAAGGCTAATACTAAAGTCATATTATTGTCGATAAAGAGATTGTAAATATTGATAGTGTATTATACAATATATATATATATACTGTTATTTAGATGAGTGTTATATATTATATATATATATATATATATATATATATATATATATATATATATATATATATATATWTATTTAGTAAAAATATTTAAAAAAGATATATAAAATATATATTTTTAAGTAACATTTATAATAAATTATGTTTTGCAAAACAACAAAAATTTAATATCTATTAAATTGATTTTTTTTTATTATATCATGTGAATAAATATATATAAATATGCAAAATTATTATTTTTTCATAAATATAACAATATTATTAAATTTTTTATTTAATATTCATAATACTGAGAATAATAATAATAATTTATTGATACAATAGTAGAAACAGTACTTTATTTTATATATTTTCATAAAAAATATGTAAAAAAGTAATAAAAAAATTTAATATTCAAAAATGCAATTCAAAATATTTATTACATGTTATATATATATATATAGTAAATATTACTATACAGATATTATTATTAAATAATTATAGATATATATATATATTAAACATTATATTTTATAATACAAAAAATATATATAATACAGTAAATGATAGATAAGCTATTGATTATATATATATATAGTGTACCAATAATAACGGCAAATCAAAAATTTAAAAAAAAAATTAGAAAATAATTATTGTTTCAAAAATACAAATGAAATTAACAACAATATAGTTTCAATAGTAGTAGTAGTAGTAGTGATATCAACATTATTTACAACATTTGGTTTACGATAATAATAATAATAATAATTAGCCGATAAGTCCACCGCCGGCTCCTTTGAAACCTTTAGCACCGGCCGTAGCTCCGGCTGCGGCCGCCTTTTTGCCGGCAGCCTTGGCCGCTGCGAATCCCTTTTTACCGCCGGCTGCTGCGGCGGCGGCGGCGCCTCCCTTAGAGAAACCTTTTTTGCCAGCCTTGGCACCGGCAGCCGCTGCTGCGCCAAACTTGGCACCCTTTTTGCCGGCAGCTCCGGCAGCACCGCCAGCAGCGAAAGCGCCGCCAGCCTTACCGAACTTGAATCCCTGTGCCGTACCGAAAGTGCTGTACAAATGATATTTATTAATATAGATTAATAAATTGTTAGATTTAATTGAAATTATTATTATTAGTATTAGTATTAGTTGTCACAATACTTACGCTACTTTACCGAAAGCCTTGTTAAAGCCGGCTCCACCAGCTTTGCCCCATTTGCCAGCCTTTCCCCATTTGGCTCCCTTTTTACCGGCCGCACCAAATGCCTAATAAAACAAAATTACAAAAAATATAATTACATTAATATCAATATTATCACAACAACAACAAACAAACAAACCTTAGCTACTTTGGCACCCTTAGCACCGGCTGCTGCGGCCGCTGCACCGGCAGCTCCGGCCTTTTTGCCGCCGGCTGCTGCCTTGAATGCTGCGCCACCAGTTGCTCCTGCTTTGGCACCGGCAGCGAAACCACCTTTTTTGAAACCCTTGGCTACAGCGGCACCACCAGCGCCAGCTCCTGCACCCTTAGTTTCGGCCACTTGTAGGACTTCCTCGGAGGCTGCACCGTCCAACTCATCATCATCGGCCAGCTCTTGAGCACTGGTATACGATATGGCCACTGATAGGACGAGTCCGACCAATAATAACTATAATAATAATAACAATAGATTATAGTTAATAAAATACAGTTTTTTCATTCAAAAATTAGTACCCATTTGTAATCCATATTTAAGTATTAAAATGTAGTTTTTTTTAACACAAAATCATAAAATTAGTCAAAAAACTTTAGTTATTTTTCTACTGATTTCTAATTTTAAAATATAATATTTTTAAGATTTTTCACTCAATTTATATAGTCGTCTAAACTATAATATATAAGAAAGTGATCGCACCGTTAAACTACATGTATTTCCTATAATATTAGGACTTCCTTTCAAAGTCAATGATATTTTATTTTTTMAAACAAAAATTAAATGTAAATTTATTTTTGACGGAACTTCCGAATACCTGTAAATTACTCGTGAATTTTTTGTGTACACATTTTTTGTACACATTTTTTTTGTTGCTATAATTATTATTTTTTTTGTTGCTATAATTATTATTTTTTTTTGCTGGACATTTGTGACCTTCAATTTGTCTAAAAAAAAAATTATTTTAAGTTAATTGAAAAACTTCGTATTGTTTGCTTTATTTACAAACAACAAAAAATTTCCTAAATAAATATATTTAGTTTTAATTAAGTTAGAGATTATTAGCATTTTTTTGTTGTCTAAAATATAACTAATTTATATATAAAAAAAATTGTTGGTAATTAAAAAATATTTTCATTAATGTATGTAATGTTATAATTAAGTTATTTAGTCTAATAGTTTAAAATCATCAATAAATTTAATTTTAATAAAAAGTTTATTATAATTTATCCGAAAAAAATGTATATGTCACTAAAATCAATATTTTTAAAAAAAATAAAACAATTAATTTTTAATATCTTTAATATCTTAGTAAACAATTACAAGTCAAAAAAAAATTTTATTTTATAGCAAATTGTTTAATATTATGCCTATTGTATTACAGTTGAGTATTTAAGACTCATTCATATTTAGTGTCATTTATATTTTTTAAAAAATTATTTTGAAAAAACATAATCATATCATTAATTGTGTTTTTCTAAATTAATTTCACTAATTTTATTTTATTTATAAGATTTTTTTAAAAAAAATTTGTGTAATTATTAATAATCTAATATTTAAATTATTAAATTATTTTAATTTTGTTTAATGAATTCTATAAGTGTAATAAAAATATTTTATTTTTAAGATATATTGTAATATAAATAAAATTATTTTCGTTATAGTAATAGAGATAATAAAAATATTATTATTATTTTTTGGACAAATTTGTCAACAAAAATATATCACTTTTAGACAAATATTTTTACCTTAAATATTGATTGTCTAAATGATTTACACACAAAATCAAAATGAAACATAGATAACATGTTTAATATATTATATATAAGGGAAGGTCACTAAATGCCAACCAAAAAAATGTTTAAACAAATATATATATWTTAAAAATAAATTATAAATATAACTTTATATGTATTTTTTATATAAATATAATTATGAGAAACAGGATATATATATCCATGGATTGTTAGTTTTATTTAATATTTTTTTATAAAAAAGTATATTACTATTAGTTTGTTAGCATATATTAGTATTAATAATATATAATTTAATATTATAATAGATTTTATTTATTTTATTATATATTTATTTATTTTTGTTGTTTTGTTTTAATATTATATTCAATTGTTTTATAATATGAATACTTAATTGTGTAATTTATTAATCAAATTAAATAAAAATTGATAATAAATGATTTAATATTGTTTTATTTATTATTTTAAAAATTTTATTTTTTAAAAATACTATTATTAAGTTTAGCTAAAAATAAAATAAATTTATTAACATTTTAAAGTAAAAATAAAATATATTCATTATTATAAAATTGTTTAGTAATTTTTTACTTATATTAATTATTATTGATAAACTTTTAGTACATACAGTATGAGCTATAAATTAAAAAAAAACAATTTAGTTATTAATATTTATTGTATTAATAAATTGTAATATTACTTGATCTTTAAAATCATAAAATAATTAATTTTAATTAATGTGAATACTAYGTGAATTAAATTTAATTGTTATTTTTTAAAAAAATTATTAATATATTTTGTTTTATAGATAAGTCATTTTAAACATAAAGATATATTATTTTTAAAAAGTAATTTAAGCTTTAACATTACAAAAAAATATAACTAAATTTTAAATAATTATAATAATTTAAATAATTGTTCAATGTTTAGAGTGACAAAAAAATTAAAATAATAAAAATATTAGTCATAATTATATTAWTAATAATAATCATTACTACAATTATAGCATTTTAAAAAAAACATAAGCATCAATTATTTATATATAAATCAAATTTTTAAAAATTTTATTGCATTTAATAATTTACATTTTACACACACACACACACACACACACACACACACACACACACATATGATATTAAAATACTATACAATTATGATTCATATAAATCATATTAAAAATTTTATGCATAAAATAGTCATTAAATATGTATAATAATAATAATAAAATTATTTTAATTTACCTATAAATATGAATAAATTTATATTATTGTATGTACTGTTTAATAATAATAATAATAATTATAATAATGGTTACTTTAATGATAAATTATTTTTTTTATAAATTATAAAATATAGTAATAAAGTGTATATAATATATAATATTAATTTAATTTAATTATTTTAGTTATTTTAAAATAATCCAAATCTACTGAATGTCGAGTCGTTGTCCACATTGATTGTATTGACCCGACTTCGGCTATTGTTGTCGACATTAAACTTATTCAATGATCGGCTGTTTACTGGCACTGATACCGATGTAGCCGTCGGTACTACTGTTGTCATATTGGACGGCATATGGTTGTGTGTGGTGGCCGACGATGAAAAGATACGCGGTCTCTGTTCAAACGATCGGCCATTCAATTGGGGGTTTGGCGTCCTAAACGACTGTTCCTCATAACTACCATCGTTGACATCTTCGGCGTCATCGTGCGGAATGGTATTGACCTTATGGTTGGCTATGTTCGGGTCAAATCCTGTTGTTGTTGTCTGCGATCGTCTACCGCCAGTTGAAGTACCTCTTCTACTACCACCGAATTGGCTGTTATTTTGGCCAAAACTGGGTACTGATGACTGTTGTTGTTGTTGTCCTACTCTACTGTTACCGCTTCCGCCGCTGCCGTATGGACCATACTGTCCATATGGTCCATATGGTTGTGGTTGATATTGTTGGGGATTATTGTATCCAAACTGTTGGTTGTGTTGTGGATAGTATTGCTGGTTAGCCGGCGGCGGCGGTTGCTGCGGTACATATGGTTGGCCGCCAGTATATGGCGGTTGTTGTTGAGGAACGTATGGTTGATGATGAGGTGGTGGCGGTGGAGGCGGCTGCTGACCATACTGTGGCTGATAGGGCTGTTGTGGTTGTTGTGGATAGTATTGATATGGTGGTTGTTGTCCGTACTGTGCAGGTGGTGGTGGTTGTGGCCGATATCCTTGCTGTGGTACTACCGGTTGTTGTTGATATATACCTACAATTAAATTAATTATTTTAATTATTTGTTTAGAAAAATATGTTAATTAAATATTTTTATATAAGACTATTACCAGACTGTGGTTGAGTATTATAGTATGGCTGCTGATTGTTGTTGTTGTTATAGTGAACGCCGGGCACAGGTATTGCCGGCGGTATAGCCTTTCCACTGTTGCCTGTATTAGCCAAACGATTTGACTGATGACCTGCCGGTGGTTTAAGTATAGGTGTGTTTTCATCAAGAATTTCGTCGTATTCGACGCCCGGGTTGTTCACCGACGACTGTCTCACACCACCGAACTCTGGCCGATATCTGGAGTTTCGGTTGTTTTGTTGATTATTATTAGTTACCGCAGCTGTAGTAGTGGTCGGCTTTTCCGGTTCGGCAGTAGTTGTATCGCCAGCTTCTCCACCGTCACCTTCGCCGCCATTTTCAGGTGTTTCCTCTCCTTCATCAGCTCCTCCTCCTTCTTGATCTGCACCTTCACTACCATCACCTTCGGCTGCTCCCTCTCCGTCTTCGCCCTCATCATAGTCTTGACCTATAAATATATATACCATAATAGTAGTCACCAACAAAAAACACATCATTGATTAAGACCTACCTTCCCCTCCATCAGCCTGTCCGCCATTGTTAGACTGTTGCTGTTGTTGTTGTTGTTGTCGTTGTTTATCTGCCTGTTCTTTGGCCTGTTTTTCCTGTTGTTTCCTAATCTCTTGGATATCTTCTTTGCTCAACAATCCCGGCGGAAACAATCCTTCGGGAAAGTTGTCTCCCAGACCGCCGCCCAGATTCTGCAACTGTTGTATATCCGGATCGTTGGACGGATCCTGATTCGGGTCCTGCGCTTCCTGGCCCTCATCGCCGCCACCGCCGCCTTCTTGTCCTGAATTGTCGTAGTCTTGTCCGCCATCTTCACCACCATCGGCACCACCGGCGTCATCGGTACCTGAGTTGTTGTCCTCATTATCGGTGTTCACCTGATTGGGTGTCGGATCTACAGCTCTGTTATTATTATTATTATTTTGTCCATAATTTGGATTATTTCCATATATTCCTCCGCCAATATTTTCTTCATTATTTCGAAGTCTATTTCCTAATAAATTAATTAAATTTAAAAAAAAATAATAATAATTAAAAATTAATTTCCATTTTTTTTCATATATAATAATTATTATAATAAAGTAATAATATTGTTTGTAAACTATGTTGTTTAGGACGGAAATGTAATTTTTAATAATAATAAAAATCTAAATATTATTACTATATTATTATTGCAAACATTTTTCAACTGTAGTATAATTTTTTTATAAATGATTTAATTGAATTTAATAAATGATTATTTAGTTTCATAATTATTAAATTTCATTTCTATAGTGTCTATAGACATGTAATTTAAATTATTTTAACTGTTTTTATAACTAAAATATTAAATAAATGTAAAGTAATTTCTAAATACTAAAATTATTAAAAATTTTAATTATAATTTGTGATATATTATTAAAATTTGTAATTTAAAAAAACAAACAATTTATTGATGACATACCTTGTCGTCCATTGAGACCACGGGGAGCACCAAAAATACCTCCACCACCTCCGCCTCCTCCAGCATTGGCATTATTTTGTCGGCCTCTTTGTGAACCACCCAAACCAAAACCCTGACCACCAGCACCACCCTGTCTATTAGCACCGGCACCACCTAATCCCAATCCCAGTGGATTAAGTCCACCCAAACCTCCCAGTGCTTGTGGCAATAGACTTAATAGTCCGCCGCCGCCTCCTTCGCCCAAACGACTTCTAATTAAGTCTAATTAAAAACACAAAACAATTAGATTATTAAGTCAATTGTGTCAATACATCCACAAAAAAAACTGATGACTAACTTATAACTCTGGGATCTCTTAGCAGTTGTGGATTCTGTATGAGTTGTTGTGTAATCTCCGGGTTTTGTAGAGCCAACTGTCGGATCTGTGGATTCTGCAAAAGTCTGGCCAATTGCGGATCCATACGCTGTCCGCCTCCCAGTCCTCCACCACCTCCTCTGAGAGCCGGCGGCAAGTTTTGCGGGTTCTGCGACTGAGCTCTCGTATGTAACGGATCCGTATTTTTATTATCATTATTGTTGTCGTCATCTTTTTCATAGCTAAACTTTTTTCGGCTACTATTTTTGGCCACTTTTGTTGTTGTTGTAGTGTTTTCCGATAATTTTTTGTCGTCAATAATATTATTATTATCGGCTGATTCCGTGCTGTTATCGTCGAGTTGACCGAAAAATTGGACAAAACTCGTTAGATTTGTTTGCCTATGATTATCATCGGTTGTTTGATTGCCGGCTATTATTACCGGTAATACTGTTGTTGTTGTCGTTGTCGTTGTTGTCGGTGATAGTGATGATGATGTGTTTGAACTAACACTTAAACTACTACTACTACTACTGTCTGATTGATTGCCATTAGTTTGTTGGGCATAACAGCAGCACTTGGATGTGATTATCACCGCAAACAACACTGAAAACAATTGTGTCCACCAATACATCTGTATATTTAAGATATACAGTAAATATTATGTATGAAATATAATAATAATAATAATTATATAATCAATAAAATTTACAATATTTTATTAATTAAACAAAATTTTTATACAATATATTTACCATTAAATTGTTTTATGAAATATCCAAAATAAAACAAATTTTTAATTTAAAACTATATTTTGTTTTGTAAAACACAAACTAAAATAAATAATAAAACGATTCATAAAAGAAATCTATTGTTATATTTTAGATTTCAAAATAATTATTATAAATAAAAACTATTTGTATTATTATTATTATAATAATATTATATTATTAATAAATTGTTGGTCACATTTGAAAACATCTAAAATAATAATTATTATTATTATTAGACTTATTGTCAAAACATTGTCTAATAAGAAACTGAAGCCATATTATTAAAATAATTTATTTTTAAATAATAAATATATGAATATTATTATTATTATTAGACTAAAATATTTTTTATTTGTCAAAAAAAAAATAATATTTGTATTTCAATTGGTGACAACAAAAAAATTACAGTTTTATTTATTACAATAATTTTCTTGTTTAGGGAGTCTATCCTTGACTGATAAAAATGTTTTAACATTAAATATAATACAAAGAAAAAACTAAAAACTTTTTGACACTTTCATTGCTGTAATAGTTTAGATAATTTTTACAAATTTTGTTTTTAGTTTTAAATGAAAAAAATTTTTGTCGTCATATACTATATATTATATTAATATTATTATAGTTTATTTATTTGCGACATTCATTCATAAATTTGAGACAATGTTTTTTGTTTTTGTTTCTAAGTAAGCCTTAACTAAGTTATTATAATATAATATAATTTTTTTTTAAGTATTAGTGGTGTGTATCCGGTGTTTAAACCGATTATTATTATTATTATTATTATTATAAATTTTATACATGAATGATATTTCTAGTGAATTTAGTTTTTTTACTTTAATTTATTTCTCATTGTTATATTAATATATAATATAATATATATATGATATATAACATAGAGATTATTTTTAAAGATATTATTTGATAATATTAATAGTAATAGTTATTATTATAATAATATTACTTTAATATGTTTAGATATTGTATATTTTTTAAATATTCAAAAAAAATTAAATTATAATATTTTTTGTTATTGAATAAATGCTTAAATAAAGCTTAAAATATTAGAAATTATATATAAATTATATATATTGATATACATATTACAAAATACAATAAATAAAATTAATTGATTAACAAAATAAGATATAATTGATCTAGGTAATCCTAACTCAACCATAAATGTTTAATATATTTATATATATTAAATATTGTTAAAATATAAAAATATTTTAACACCACTAAAAATCAATGTTAAAAACAAAACAAAATTTCAAATATTTAATCAAATATTACAAATTTGGGAAATAAATTATTTGTTTCCTCCCCCCTCCCCACCAAAAAAAATAAATATCTATATGTTTGATTATTTGCTCCAATTGTCAAATTCAATTAATCAATTAATACATACACTTTAATCAATCAATCAATCAATTATGAAAATAATAATAATAATAATTAAATAATAAAATTTATTTTATTTATTATTTTATAAACAATGGATGACATACTATCATATATTTTATTATTATATATACTAATTATATTATCATATAATTAATTTCTACTAAAATAAATTAGATGTGTATCAATTATTTTTTTATTATAAATTATTTGTAAACTTGAAAAAAATGTATATTATGTCAACAAAAAAAATAATTATATATTTTGACACAAAAAAAACCCAAAATATAACAATCAAAATCAAAAATATGTAAATATATATATGTCCTCCAAGTGTTGTAAATATGTGTCCCACCACCGGATATCATAAGATATAAATGATTACCCATTTGCTTATGTTTTATAGTGTAATACATAAAGATTTTTAGGCAATTATTATTTTTTTCAATAACATTTGGTGTCTAAAGTAGTAGTCAATGTGTTATATATTTTTATAAAAAATAAAATAATTTTTAAAAATAAAACGACTAAATAAATTAAATATTATATATCATATAACTGCCGGAACATCGCTCTATTGAATTGGACGGACATAACTATGACTTAACTAATAGTAATAATAATAATAATAGGCTTAAAGTTTTTTTTAAAAAATATCATATAAGATATATCGTAATAATAATAATAAATTATTTTTGGGTTTCATAAGTAATTTATTTACTTATATATATAAATATTATACTATATATATATTGTTTGTGTGATTATATTGTACTGTATATATATATTTTTAGATATTTGAGGATTTGCTTATATAAATGCTAAGTTATCATTAGTTTTTTTTAAACAAATAATTTTGAATTTATATATTTAAAAAAACTTTAATCTTTAAAATTAAATATTGTTTAATTAATAATTGTTTTTATAWATATATATGAAAATAATAACTCTAATAATAGCCCAATAAAACATATAGGGCTGATTTTTTTAAATAAATAATTAATAACTATTATTAATAAGTTTATAATGAAATTTAACAAGGTATTTTTTTCATATACATTTGATTTGTTTAAATAATTTATTTAAAAATAATTTACACTGTTTTTATAATAAAATTATAATAAAATAAATATTGATTTTATTAATATTAATATATATTTTTTTTAATTAATTAAAGATACTCTGTTTGCTGGTTGTATTGGCCTATAATGTAATAATTATGATATCAGCCAACGATCTGTCGGCAGCCGAAACAGCCGCCGGCGGTAAAGCCATTGCCGGTGCACAGGTCGGTGGCGGCAAGTTTGGTAAGGCYGGTGCCGCTGGAGCCGTAGCCAAGGGTGCCGGTGCTGCCGGTTTCGGGGCCAAAGCGTTTGGCAAAAAAGGTATTATACCTGTTGTTGTTGTGTTTTTTTAAAGTAAATAATAATGATATTTACAAACAATCTTTGTTGGACTGTAGGATTTGCAGCTGGAGGTGCCAAAGGGGCAGCCGGTTTTAAAAAGGGTAAACTATTGATTATATTTAAAAAAATTATATAACTATATAACCAACAACTGTTTCCTAACTAACAATATGCTTGTATGTGTGTTACCCTCAATCCCCCACTCCCATCCCAACCCCCAATAAATAGGAGGTGCCATGAAAGCTGGTGCAGCTGCGGGTAAGTTTGGAAAAGCGGGCTTCAAAAAGGGTGCCTTCAAAAAAGCATTCGCCGCCGGACACAACAAAAAATATGCCAAAGTAGCCGTAGTGGCCACCGATCAGGCCTTCAAATTCGGTACAATTGCCGGCAAGTTTGCCACCGGCGGTAAAGCTGGCGGTGCTTTTGCCAAGAAAGGTGTGGCCAAAGCTGCCGGCGCTCAGGGATTCAAAAAGGGAGCCAAAGGTTTCAAAAAAGGTTTCGGTGCGGCCGGTGCTGCCAAAGGTGGCTTCAAAAAGGCAGCGGCAGCTAAGGGTGCCTTCAAAAAGGCCGGTGCTTTCGGTGCCGGTAAGGCTGGCAAAAAGTTTGGTGCCGTCGCTAAAGGAGTTGTCGGTTGAAAACATTGAAACCTACAGTTTCTTTATCTATGAAAAAAACTAAATGGCAATAATCTGATTGATTTTTGTGTGGTTTTTTTCAATCTATTAAAAGTTAACTATATTAATGTAATTTATAAATAATTTTTGAATTTCAAGCATATTTTTTTACAATTATTATTATTATTATTTAAAATATATTATTATTATATTATTATTATTTTTTTGTAACTTACTATATGTGATATATTATAAGATTTTTTTATAAAAAAAATTAATTATTTAAATAAATAATAGTAGCAATGCAAATACAAATGTATAATAAAATTAATTTTATTATAATTAATTTAGCATTTTTTTATAAATATTAAAAATAAAAAATATTTTAGATTTTATTTTCTGATAAAATAACAACAAAATGTGTGTTTATTTTTGAATTAAATAGACTGAAACTTATCAGTAGATTGAGGTCAATGGCATTTGTGTTATACAATTATTTAAAAAAAAAACTAATTTTATCATTTGAAAATAAAACTTATATATAATAATATATAATTTTGTTGGAAATATTAAAAATTTAATTGTTAGCAATTATTTAATTAATACTTAATACTTTTTTAAACTAATTTTTTTTATTACTTATTCATAACAAAAATTTATTTATCTATCTATTAATTTTTATATATGATATTTATTAATACATTACAATACTAATGGGATAATTACTAATAATTTTACTAACACATTGTATCAATGTAAAATATTTATCCATATTTAATTAATTATTAATTAATACATTTAATTCAATTAGTTAATTTTAATTAAAATTATCAATTTAATATATTTATCCAAATACTATATATTCAATTCAATTATTTAATTTTAATTAAAATTAAACATTTTTCATATTATATATTATTATCTATTAAATAACAAAATTTGTTATATTGGGTTTTAATATTTATATTAAATTATATATTCTAGTATAATGATTGTTATTATATTAAATTTTAATATTAATTGCATTTAATAATATTATTAGGATAATGTTTATAAAGTATAATTATTAAGTGAAATTAAATTATTGGTTTATTAGTTGGTAATCAATAACCATTATAAATTACCGATATATATATACTAAATTTTATTTATTATTATTTATAAAAAATTATTATAAGAAACAAAACATAATTTTATTGTACTATTATTATTAATTTTTTTAATTAAAATTATACACTTTTAGTTTTAAGATTTTTTATTAAAAAAAATCATTAATTTCGTATTTTTTCTGACCTAGTATCTATAATGATTAAATACATATAATTTCATATATAAATATAAATACAAGTTTATACTACTACTACTACTAATAATAATAATGTTAATAAATCATTGTTGTTTATAAGTTGTTATCATTATTATTAATAAATTTATTAATTAATTTATTCATTAATTCATTAACGGCTATACAATGAATATTTGTTTTTTGTTGTCGTTTTCATTTGATTACAAAATAGGGGATAAATGACATGAATTTATTTTATTTTTTCATCGGTAAGTGATATTAAACTACTGTACATAAAACTATTGTATTACTATATTATTATTATTATTATTATTTTCATTAAACAATGATTAATAAAAATTGTGTGAATTTGACAACAAGTGTTTGTTTGTTTGTTGTGTCGGCTTTTTGTTAGTCAATAATAGTTAAAATATATTATTGTTTGTAATATCACTTGAATTTACTAAATAAAAAAGTATTTATCAAATAATTTCTAAACATTTTTTCTAACTATTACTGTATTTTTTTATATATCACACAATACTTTCTATTCAATATTATTATTATTATTACAAACATAATATAATAATAATAAAGATTATAATACTTGACTGATGTTTTTATCACTTGAGTGAAACTTGTATTTATTACCAGAAAAATATATATATACAATAATTTAATAACAATAATACAAAATATACAATAATAATAATAATAATAATAATAATAACGAGAAAAATAATATTACTTTTATATTACTAAAACATTTTCATAATTTTAAATATTTTCTGTTGAATTACAGTGTAATAAAATAATATAAATATWTTTTTTATTAATAGGCAATTAATTTCTAATTTATGGAAATTTTTTTTTGATTGAAAATAAAAGTATTATTTCTTATATTAAATGTAATAATTCATTATTATTATTATATATACTTTATATATATATATATATATATAAATCATTGTATAAATGTGTCAATAAATTGTTTGTTAATATGAATCATATAATATGATATACTATAAACTTTTTATTTAAATATATATATATATATTATTATAACTAAAGTATAAATATTTTTTAACAAAATTATATTATATATTATGATGTTGTATTAAACAAACATAGTTTTAATTAAACACATATTTTTTTAAATAATAATAAATGATAAAAAATCAAAATGTATTCAAATATTTTTGTTGATTTAATAATTATAATTTTTATGACATTCTATTATTTTATTGTTGTTTCTATGAAAGTACACAATTTAACTGATCTTCAAATTTTAAACAATAAAAATTTAAATAATTTAATTATTAATGATTTTAATAGTAGTAGTATTGATAGTAAGAAAAATAATACATTTGTTAATAATATGAATATTACTATAATAAACAATACAAATGTTATTAATAATCATTTAAATGACAATTTAAATAATAATAATAATACCTATGATGACGATGATTACGATGATTATACGGATAATGTGATGAATAGTCAACAATATTATATGACAGGACTTGTCAATCAATTTTGGGATCAATTGCTAAATGAAAAGCCAATGAATGAATTGAATAGTAAATCACAGAATTTACAGAATAATTCCAATAATGATATAATTGATGGAAATATAATGTTTGATAAATTGATAAAATTGTTGTCAACTATACAAACATTTGCCAAATCAATACATCGCCAGTCATTCCTACGGTTGATGGAAATGGTCACACAATTTAATATCAGTGACCAGTGTTTACGATCATTGCTGGCCACCAACAATGCAATTGCCGATAATAAATTATGGGCCCTTAAATGTATAATATTTTTTGTTTATTAAAAAAACAATATTTATTATATTTAAATAATTAATTAAAAAATTATTATTTTTTATATATATTAACTGATCTATTGATGTCATCACATGAAATGTCTTTAAAACCAAAAATATTAAAATTTAATKTCAATTGTTTTGTTACTTAAAAAATTCCGATAAGTTATCGATTCAATGGGTAAACTYCCTGCAGGACTGGCACAGGGAGTTGTCAGCAGTTTCGGTGATTACAATGAATGTGTTGGTATCCGAAGTGAACACAACAACAACAACAACAATGAATGGTCACAACAAAAACAACAATCATTTTCAGGCAAATATTGTTTGCTAAGACCTGTCATTCCCATCAAACTAATGGAGAAAATAGTTTTTGGCGGACAAAACATAATGAATATATTGTCCGATAAAGTGGTCGACAATAACATGGAGTTAAAGCAAATTTTATCGACATTTGTCGGAAATAATAATAATGTAAATCAAATGAAACTTGTGTTGGCTTTCAATACGGCTGCCGATCGCCGATACTTTGAATTGTTTCGCTTCGGTATCTGTTTTCCATCCCTGTGCTCAACCAATGAAATACAACAAACGGTTAACAGTAGTAAGCATTTAAATTATTAATTTTTTTCGGTGACTTTCTACTATTATTAAAAAAAAACAATACTAATATTATAATTATATTTTTCTATCATATAAAGTACTTGAACCGACTATAGGAGTTCCCATACATATAGGGCCACAATTTGGTGTTTATAATGACAATGAAAATATTATTACACAACTCAATGGTTATCAACTATTTGCAATGTATTATAATAGTAGTATAATCAATAGTTTTAATAATATTAATTTTAAATTAAACAATTATTGTTGAATACAGAATATTAATACTTATATTGATAATATTGGCACTAATTAGTACATTAGTCGACTTATATACGGGTGATCACAAAACTATTAGTACCGGTAGTAATAGTAGTGATTTAATAAGATTTCGACAATCGTTTTCATTGCTAACAAATAGCCGTAAACTTTTCGACCGAACCAATATTGATGGTCGATTGATAAGTGCCGATACCGTACTATTTATTTATATTTTATGGGTATTTATTGGCCGATCATATCTCGAGCCCCTATATATCGGGACAGTTGGCCTGAAAAATATCTACCATTCGATACCCAACGAACTGATGACTGATTATAGATATTTTTGGCTACGAAATCCATTTCCAAATGAAACTATCATTTTAATTAGGTATGTGCTCTCAGATATACAGATATGATTAATAATAATTTAATATTATTTATATATATATATATATTATTAGTTCATTTATAGTTGCCTACAATTACTACGGTATCAATCAAATCAAATACTCACCGATCAATTACTTCAACTATTGTTTAAATCGTTGGCTTAGATTAAGTAGACGTACTATTGGACCAATTTTATTGGTATACATACTGTCCATTACGGGTGACGGTCCACTATGGCTACAGTTGGGCCATATTTTTCAGAGCGGCTGCAAAACAAATTATTTACAAAGTTTATTACTAATCAACAATTTTATCACCGATTTTGATCAATTGGTATATATGATAATTATATTCAATTAAAATATATTTTCTATATTATTATTATAATTATTATTTTATAAACCAGTGTAATACCTCATATTTGGCGCCAGTATTTCAACTTCAATTGCTGGCACCGTTAGTTTTAATAGTCATACAAAAATGTAGTGGTGGTGGTGGTGGTCGCTATCGTTATCCAATAGTTGCAACAATACTCATATCGATCGGTATGTTTGCTACTATAGCACCGAAACTGTTGTCCACCGCCGGCGGCGGAACCCGTCTAACACCGTACGAAATGCTAGCAATCAATAGCATACATGAGCTCAAGTACTCAATCATACGCTATACACAATTTACCGATCAATACCTGTCCTCGTTTCTAATGGGATTACTTCTGGCCTATTGTATTAAATATAAAACAAATGTAAAATTAGCGAAACCAGTAGCTATTGTGTTGTGGATTATATTACCGTTGGTTAGCTTTGCATCGATTGTATGGTCGGAAAGTTTTATTCAAAATAATTTAATTGATTCAATGTATACCCAAAAAAATCAATTGAATCTTATAGTATGCTATTCATTGGGAAAGATAATGTGGTCAACTGGGGTGTGTTGGACTATATATGCCTGCGCTACTGGACAGGCAGGTATGTACCGGTAATGTACTGTAAAATAATAATAATGTTACAGTATGTTAACCCACAACAACAACAACGATAGAGTTTATTATATATAAACAAATATTTATAATTAACTAATTAAATATAGCTAACTTATTATTAATATTATTTCTTAAAAAATAATAATTATTATATATAAATTAGACAATTGCTTAAAATAATTATATAGTATTCATAATTATAAAAATAAAATTATAATAATATAAAAATATTATAAATTAGATACTAGGAAAATATAATTAGAAAAATATGTAAGATAAAGTTAATGATTATAAATCTAATAATTATTATATGTTATTTAAATATTATTGAGGTATTATATAAATTGAAAAATTTTTAATTACAGGTATTATGAAATACATATTTGAAAACAAAACACTACTACCTCTCTATCGGCTATCATTGACAATACTAATGTTGCATTCAGTGATCATCGACTATCGGCTCTTTACGCTCAGGGATGTCTATCAAATGACACACTTATCAACTGTAAGTATCAAACAAATAAAATAAATAAAAATAATTTCATTAAATTAACTATTCATATAATTAGTAATATACTAATATGTATTAAATCTCAAATTGATATATCTAAATATATAGATTGAAGGCATAATAATCAACTTTATGATCACTATTTGCTTATCATATATAATATATGTATTAATTGAATGTCCAATTGATAATCTAATTAGACTGATCTCAAAACAATCAATATATAAATTAGTTGTCTATTCCGATGATGGCCTAAATTGTGAGGAAAATTGTGGAAAATTAGTTTTAAAATCAATAATTCGTACAAAATCTTAATAATCTATAATTAAATTAAAAATACTTATATTGTAAATAAATAAAAAAATATAAATTACAATTATTTAATTTTGTCTTGTATAATATGGGGAAAAAATTATAATATCCATGTATAACATAAATCTATCTAAAGTTAAGTATATTTTTTATTTCAAGTAAAGTTTTTTCAAAAAATAATATTTTCAATTCAAATACAATAAAATCAAATAATCTATTAATAATATACTTTTAAAAAAACTATTTAATAATTCATCAAACAGTTCATTGATTTAATCAATACAAACAAATAATTTAGTTTTAGTATTGACTATATTTAATTGTTAGTCAGATTAATAATTATAATTAAATATTATTGAATTTTATTATTAAACAAATAATATACTATTAATATAATATTATTGTTAATAATAGCATTTATAAATAATATTAATGATAATAAATATGTATTAGATTATTTGCTCTAATAAATAGCTTACTATTTAAATAAATATATATATTTAGTAATACTCTATAATTATTAGTAAATATCATATCTCTCTCTCTCTCTCTCTCTCTCTCTCTCTCTCTCTCTCTCTCTCTCTCACTCACTCACTCACTCACTCACTCACTATCTTTCTCTAATATATATATAAATTATTAATTAAAAAATATTATTTTGAGATAACTTTATATTAATTTATATAATATATTTTTAATATCATAATAAATATTTAAATATAAGTTGAACTGCAATTAAGTCAATGAAAAAATCAATTAATTTGCAATTAACTGACATAATAAAAATCAACTAATATGATAAATTATTATTTTTTTTTTGTTATACTGTATGTTAACTATTATATTACAAAGTTATAATATAATGAGATAAACAGGTATATTAATATTAAATACTATTATAAATTGATAATATTAGTTTGTTGTTTAATAATGTTTTCAATTCATGCAATAATGTACTCTAAATGATTGACTAACTTATATAAAAAGCAAACAATTTTTTAAGTTTTAAAGAAATCTTAAATCATTTATAAATATGTTTAAAATGTTAATCATATAGTTTTTTAAGTTATTTTTTTAAAAAAAATTATAATACAAACAAAAACAAATTGGATGAGAAAGTGTTTTATTATTTTATTAGTTTTTTTGTTGTTGGGATATTGTGTGTGATATAATAAATTTTTATAACTAATTGTTTGGGGGGTTTTTAAACAAAACTAAAATAATGGCCACCAATAACACGTCCTCACGGCTAGTGATGGACGAGGATATAGTGATCAGTGGTATGAGTGGCCGCTTTCCCGAAGCCGACAATACCGACGAGTTTGCCCAACACTTGTATCAAAAATCGGATCTGTTTACCGAAGATGATCGCCGATGGCCTACCGGTAATGTTAATGATATTATATTTATTTTGTTAAACTTTTAAATTTTTTACAGTTAATTAACACATGATTTTATTTCAACAAAAAAAAATAAATATAAAATAAAATACAATAGATTTTTAAAATTTTATTTTTCAAATAACAAATATCTTATTTACTCAATAAATAACTTTTATAAAACTGTATGAAAATGTTTAACACTATTACTTGCTATACTAATGTGCTATACCTGTACTAAACATGTATTCAAATATAATTATATCAATTGATAACTTTAGTGATTTTTTTAATGATATTATAATAATTAAAAGTTTTAAATACAAATTTATTGATTATATAGTAAAACTGATAATTATTACACAAAAAAATAATGATACAAATAAAAAATTCAAATTACTTTAATTTACTAAAATATTGCAAATTATTAACATTTTTTTTGCATAGATTTGTATGGTATGAATCAGCGAATGGCAAAACTAAAAGAGATCGACAAGTTTGACGGTTTATATTTCGGTATCATTGGCCATATGGCCGACCAGACTGACCCGCAGGCCCGTATACTGCTCGAGACTACCTACGAGGCCATAGTCGACGCGGGCGTCAATCCCCAGGACTTGCGCGGCTCACAAACCGGTGTCTATATTGGCTACTCGTCGATGGGAATGCCCGACGGTTTTCCCAACGAAGTCCARCCAGACTCTCAGTCATCGATGACCGATACGATAGTCTGGTATCCGGGAAGTGCTAAATGTATTTACGCCAATCGGATATCGTTTATATTTGATTTCAAAGGCAAATCAATGGTCATCGATACCGCCTGTTCATCGAGTATTGTGGCACTCGATGTGGCCATCAGTGACCTCAGATTAGGTATGAGCTCTTACAGGTCTTGTAATTACAGATAATATAAATGATATTGTATTTAATATTATGATGTAAAGGCAAATGCGATCAGGCAATCGTTGGCGGTGTGGGTATCAATTTGCAGCCATTTACCAATCATATCTATCAGCGCCAACAGATCAACTCCAGGGACGGCATACCGAAAGTTTGGGACGAAAAAGCTGACGGTTTTGTGAGAGGCGAAACCGTTTCCTGTGTTTTCCTTCAACGAAAATCACGAGCCCGTCGACAGTACGCAACCATTTTGAACACATCCATCAATATTGATGGCAACAAAAAGATTGGTATGTTTTTTCCGTCGGCCGAAAGCCAAGAGGAACTCATGATTAAGACCTATACTGAGGCCGGTGTAGATCCACTGCGAATCAACTATTTTGAGGCACACGGAACTGGCACTGAGGTATTGTTTTAACTCTCTGTCTCTCTGTCTCTCTGTCTCTCTGTCTCTCTGTCTCTCTGTCTCTCTGTCTCTCTGTCTCTCTGTCTCTCTGTCTCTCTGTCTCTCTGTCTCTCTGTCTCTCTGTCTCTCTGTCTGTCTGTCTCTCTGTCTGTCTGTCTGTCTCTCTGTCTGTCTGTCTGTCTGTCTGTCTCTCTGTATCTCTCTTTCTGAATAAAGTAATTAATTATACTGTATATTATGGTTGGGTATTAGGTGGGTGACACACAAGAAGCCAAAGCCATCTACAATGCCTACTGTGTACGACCCCAGCGAACCGAACCCTGCCCATAGGTCTGCTTAAGAGTAACATTGGACACACGGAAGCGGCTTCCGGTATGGCATCGCTGGTCAAGTGTTTGCTATCATTTGAAAACCAGTGCATACCAGCCAATCTGCATCTCCAGAAAATCAAGTCCAGTATCGCGGATATGTGTCCACCTTTACAGCCGATCAATGATAACTATGACTATACTCCCGGTATATATACGATAATTTTTAAGATTTGTTTATCAAGTGCTCGGTATCGGTAGTTTTTAATGGTATTATTTTTTTGGTGATTAAAAACTATAGGTATAGCAGCACTCAATAACTTTGGTTTAGGCGGTGTCAACGGTCACGTAATACTTGAGCCAAACTATAGGACACTAGTGGATGATAATAATAATAGTCTAGAAATAGCTACCGATTCATATCCAAGAATAGTAAACATTTGTTGCCGAACTCTTGATGGACTGAATCGATTGTTTGATTTTATTGAAAATAATCCGCAAAAGATTACCAAAGATTTTCTGGCTCTCTTGACTGATACCATGAAGTCGAGACCTAATCTTAAGTCATCGGGATTTCCATACAGAGGTATTGATTGATTTGATGACAACAACAAAATTTAGGATCTATTTAATGATTTTGTTCGTAYTTTTAGGCACATTAATCATCAAACAGATGATGGCCACTGTTGAGGATAATGATGTTAGCAGTGGTGGACAACAACAACTGGTGAGCCGTACATATAAGAGACAGTGGACACAGTTTACAAGTAAGTCGACAAAACCACTTTGGTTTCTATTACCCGGTTTGGGTGGCCAATGGTCGGCAATGGCCCGGGCGTTGATGCCGATCAACATATTTGCCCAAAAGATTGACGAATGTCATGAAATTCTTTCGGAATACGGAATCAATTTGAAGACTCTGTTGTTAAATGACTCGCAAAATCAGATGACAACAATGACCAACAAATTTTGTGCCACAACTGCTCTGCAAATAGCAATGATCGATGTCTTACACCGGCTGGACATCACTGCCGACGGTCTAATTGGCCATTCGTTTGGCGAGATTGCCTGCGCCTACGCCGACGGCTGTATTACAGCCAAAGAGGCTCTACTGGTTACCTATATTCGTGGACAGGTTACCGAAAATGATCGAAACATACCGAAAGGTTTGATGGCAGTGGTGGGTATGTCTTGGATGGAAACCAAAAAATTGTGTCCTAAAGGTGTTCACGTGGTCTGCAATAACTCGGACAATGCTGTAGTTGTTTCTGGTATTTGTTTTGTGTTTTTTTTAAGAAACAGTATATTTTGCTAACTGTCCTTATTTTGTGACAAATAGGTCTATACAAAGAAGTAAAACAATTTACCGAAGACTTAGCCAAACGAAATATATTTGTACGCGAATTGGAAAGCAATTACATTCCCTATCACAGCAAATATCTCAAATCTTCGGCACCGAAGATGACCGAAATGATTGCCAAAGTTATTACTTCGCCAAAAAAGCGATCAAAGACATGGATATCAACTGCCATTGACGACCAGTTGTCATCTGACGACAACGAGGCTCTCAAGTTTGCATCGGCCGAGTATTTTGTACACAATTTGGTCAGTCCGGTCTATTTCATTAACAAATTGAAGACACAAGTGCCCAACGATGCCATTATCATCGAAATAGGTCCACATTCGCTGTTTGCCAAAATTGTGGCCAAAACACTTGAAAACAGTACATATATGTCACTAATCAAGAAAGACCAAAACGACAGTAATTGTGAAACATTTTTGTCGACAATCGGCAAACTATACGAATTGGGTTTCAATCCGGCCATTGAACACCTGTATCCACGGGTTGAGTGGCCAGTGGCCCGAAATACTCAATCGATTAGCTCATTGATTCGTTGGGATCACTCGGAATCGTTTCTCGTTAAGAAATATCCCGATTACTACTTTAACTATACGGCCGGCGATATGAACATACAGTTTGATATGTCGCGCGATATGAAATCATATCTAACCGACCACTGTATCGACGGTTCAGCGATATTTCCGGCCACCGGTTATCTAATGCTGGCCTGGCGTCAGTTGGCCGCATCGCGCGGCAAAATATGGAATCAATTGCCGGTTGTTTTCGAGGAAACACAGTTCCGACGGGCGGTCTTTCTGTCGCAAACCGAACCGACAAAACTGAAAGTTAGATTTCACGACATATCTGGTAATTATTTTGCTCTCTCTCTCTCTCTCTCTCTCTTTCTTTTTTTCTTTCTTTCTATTAATTTTTGTTTTTTATTCATTAATTTTTAGGAGAATTTGCAATATTGGAAAACAATTCAGTTGTATGTCTGGGTCGATGCTATTCACCGGACGACTGTCCACTAAGAATACAGAATATATTTCACGAACAAAACATTGATAAGGAACTGGAGTCTGGTGTGACACTCGATGCCGACGACATCTACAAGGAATTGGGTGTCAAAGGCTACGACTATGGACCGACTTTTCGCCGATTGCGACAATTTTGTAGCGACTCTGATGGCAGCAAATTGTACGGCAAAGTTGAATGGGACGGCAATTGGATAACATTTTTGGACGCATTGTTTCAGACAATGGCGCTGACAGTGCCGTCCAGAGAGCTGATGGTTCCCGTTATGATATCATCGCTCAGATGCGATCCCAAAGTTTTTTTCAGTGCCATTTCGGACGCAAACATTGTCGATGAAAATGTATCGAAAGTAATCGGCGCTGAAGATAGAGAAGAGATAATTGTCACAAAAACCAAACAAGAAGTCGATATCTTTTCGGAGACAACAACCGCTGAACTGTTGGAAACGTTTATTGATTCAAGCTTTCATAAATACAAATCAATGATGTCTTTCTATTGTGATGTCAACTCCAAGATTATTGTAACCAATGGTCTGGAAGTGGAAGATCTGATAGCTGTTCCCATATCGCGTAAGAATGTATCAGTCAATGATCTAAAACTAGAGTCCTATCAGTTCATAGCCAACGATGAATCGCAAGCCATCGATGACCACCAGAAAGAGTTTGCCATCAATTATCTTAATGTTTGTTTGAATTATAAGACATTTTTATTTAAAATAATACCTAATTTTTTATTATCTATTGTTTGGTTTAATAGGTGTGTCTATCGATGGCTAATAAAGTTAAAAATATAATCAATAAAACTAATAATACTATTGATAATAAAATTGATGCCACAATTATAGATCAGATAATTATCGATAAATTTGATAAAGATGTCAAAGATGAATATATATTGTTGAATATATTCAAACATTTATTGAAACTATTGACGGATCAAAAAAATTCAGATAATATTAATAATATTGATAGCGATTTGATTAACAAATCGATTAGCGATTTATATACAAAACCAGAATTTGATTTAAACAACGATTTGGTGAATCAGTTGCCAAAATGTGAACGATTTCTTCGGCCACTACTCGACATTGTCTGCGAAAATATTGTACCAAAAAAAGAGATCAAAGTTCTTGAACTAAGCGCCAATGTTAGCGGTTTGATGGCCCAAGAGATTGATACATATCTGGCTTCGGCCGCCATCTTTCCCATTGATGTTGACTATAATATAGCTACAAAATCGGTGGATCAATTACCAGATAAATTCAAGACAAATAAATTATTCAAACAATCATACGAATGGAATTACCGGAAGAATGACTTTCCAGTTGATAGTCTTCAGTCGTCATTTGATTTGATTGTTTTGCGCGACACTCAAGAGCTGTGGCCATCGGTCGACCTGAAGAAACAATTGCATGATATGTATGAATCGTTGAACAACAACAACAACAACAGGTCATTCTTGTTGATTATTTTGAGAGATAACTATACGGCACCGGAATTGGCCTTAAGTCAGATGAATGGCAAGAAATTTGCCGACAAAACAGCTCTTCGTCAACGAATCGACAGTTTTGTTACAATTGGCAAATCAATTGGTTTATCACTGGTTTGTCGCAAAAGTGATTCAATCGGTTCAATGGGTTTACTGTTTAGAAAAACAACTGTTTGTGATTCTTCTGGTAGTTATGATAAGCAAAATATCAATTTTATTCAAATCGACGAAAATTGTTACGAAAATTGGTTTGAATTAGTTAAACAAAAGTTGTGTGAACTCAAAGAGATTACCAATGAATCAGATACGACAAAGTTGTGGTTAGTTAGCATCGGCAGCGATAAACCGTCGAAGAATGGCCTAATAGGTCTGGCAAATAGTTTGCGGTTAGAACCGGGCGGCGACCGAATCCGATGTATATTTGATTTTGATAATTGTCTACAATTGCCACTACTAAATAACCACTGTCCACTGGTTGCCGATATATTGACCAACGAGTTGATTATCAATGTGATTAGCAACGGAAAAGTTGGTACATATAGACACTTAAATTTACCGAAAGATTACGACCAATTGGTAACTCACGACTACTTTTTAAATGTGGCCAAAAACAATAAGGACTTGTCGTCCATTCAATGGTTTGCGGCCAACAATTTGTTTACAACCGAAATCAACTACGATATGAACAACCAGTCATACAAACAGATCAGATGCCGTATCTATAGTTCTGGTCTTAATTTCAAAGATGTTATGTTTGCCACTGGTATTCAATTAGTAATTTTAATAATTAATTTAATTAATTAATTAATTTTTTTGTCCACTGAATAGGCCGTATAATGTCGGGTCCAGAATCCTTGTTCACCGACAATGCAATCGGTTTCGAGTTTGCCGGTCGACGTAACGACTCGGGTCAACGTGTTTGCGGTTTCGGTGTCAGTCGATGTATGGCATCATTTGTCGACACCAGTGACCAATTGGTTACACCAATACCCGATCATTGGTCAATGGACGAAGCGGTAACAGTACTGAGCACATACATTACTGTCTGGTACGGACTTATCGAAAGGGCACAACTCAGGCAAAGTTAGTATACAGTAATTGATTTGTTTTTTGTTTGTTTATATAGTAATATTCATATATATTTTTTTTGATTGTATAGACGAAAGCATTTTGATTCATTCGGGTGCCGGCGGTGTAGGACAGGCAGCCATTGCCGTCTGCCAGCACTACAATTGCGATATCTATACTACAGTTGGCAATGAAGAAAAGCGTCGATTCCTGATTGATAGATACAAAATACCTGAGCATAAGATATTCAACTCACGTGACATACAATTCAAGTATCAGTTGTTGACGGCCACTAACGGCCGAGGAGTTAATCTGGTACTCAATTCGTTGACCGGCGACAAACTGGAGGCCAGTTTCCAGTGTGTATCGAAAAACGGTCGTTTCGTTGAAATCGGTAAATACGACCTAATTCTGAACAAACGATTGGGTTTGTTTGCCTTTCTCAAGAACATATCGTTTGTCGGGGTTTCAGTGGATCAGATCATATCAGTTATGCCCGACTATTGCCAAAAGTTTTTCGATTGGATGCACCAAAACTCAGCCGTCGGCACGGGTTGTGTCCGACCAATCAATACGACTATCTTTAGGGCATCGGAAGCCGATCAGGCGTTCCGCTATATGACTACTGGCAAACATATCGGGAAATTAGTGATTAAGATTCGGGATGAAGAGCCGCCAAAAACAACACCAATGATGACGGCGAGTCAACTAATGAATGAAACCCAAAAACTGATGGTAACAGTGAAGACCTATTTTAATCCACAAAAAGTTTTTATAATTACTGGCGGTTTGGGTGGCTTTGGACTCGAGCTAATCAATTGGATGGTAAAGATGGGCGCAAAAAAGTTTGTGATAACATCCCGCAGTGGCATTAAAACCAGTTATCAACGATTTCTCATGAATCGATTGGACAGTTGGGGCCAAAAATATCGGGCACTCAAAACCGATTTGGTTGTCGTCGAAAATGCTGGTAAAACACTGGACGACAACAAAAATCTTTTAGCGAAAGCACTTGAATTGGGGCCATTGGGTGGTGTTTTTCATTTGGCACTTGTACTCAACGATGGCCTACTAGAGAATCAAACATTGGATCAGTTCGTGACTACCTGTGCGTCAAAAGTGAATGCATGCCAGCACTTAGATCGCCTAACCCGTGAAATGTCTATCGATTTGGACTATTTTGTTGTCTTTTCGTCGGTCAGTTGTGGCAAAGGAAATCCCGGCCAAACCAACTATAGTTACGGCAATTCTGTTGGCGAACGTCTATGCGAACAGCGCCGTCGCGATGGCCTACACGGACTGGCCATACAGTGGGGACCAATTGGCGACGTCGGAGTTATCGCCGACACAGACATTAACACATCGTTTTCGGCAATTGTCAAACAACGGATCAACTCGTGTATGGAAGTGTTGGACAAATTTCTTCAGTGTCCGCATCCTATACTCTCCAGCACTGTATGTATTAATATTAGTAGTAGTGGTTAAAGTAATACCTACTGATAATGTCTTTTTTTTAGGTAAGAGCCCAACGTATCGCACATGAAGGTACCCGAGAGTATCGTATTGTCGGCCAAATATGGAGCGCACTGGGCGTCGATCCGGACACTACACCCGATCACTTGACACTCGGCGAGATTGGCATCGAATCAATGTTTGCCATTGAATTACAACAGGGATTGGAAAAAGATTACGACATCAAGATATCACTCAGTGATGTCAAGTCTATTACTGTCAAACAAATGAAAGACTTTCAAAGTGGTAAAGTTGTTGATCTTAAACAGTTTGCCGCCGATATCCGTGACGCCCGACACCGACTCAATCGCAAACGATTTATAATACCATCCGAACCGTATACACGACTCAATACGGTTACCTCAGGTAAACCATTGTATTTGTTGCCACCAATTGAGGGCATATTTTCAACGTTTGAATCGTTGGCCAAAAAAATTGATCGTCCAGTCATTGGACTGAATTGGACCAAAGATATGGACGGTATGACTTCCATCAATGAGATGGCCACTCATTTTACACAAGTATTGCGCCAATTGTCGCCCACCGGCTCCGGCGACTGGGACATTATCGGTCATTTCTATGGCGCTCTAGTGGCCAGCAAAATGCTCCGATCGTCGGCACCCATAGGCCGGGCAGTTATTATTGATATACTTTCAAACACCCGAATAGACGAGGAACTGATGGCCAGCGACGAGAATCTGTTTAAAATTGTTTCAAAATTTTTATTTCACGATATGCCCGAAAATGTCCGCCAGCGAATCAGCCGTGATCTGGACACTGTACCAGATATTGGCGAAAAACTTACCCGACTATCGACTGAAATCAAAGATTTTGGCGGCAAAAGCTTGGTTTCCAAAGACTTGGATCAGATTCTGAAAAATTCCTTCCGTCGGGCAAAACTATTTACCGACTATCGGATCAAATTGAGTCGCAAATATCAAAGAGTTCGGACAAATGTTGGGAAAAAGTTTTACGAAAAACGGGGAAAATTATTGGTCATTAAACCGTTTGAAGATTTCGGCAAAGATGATAGCAATAGTAATAATAATAATAATAATAATCATAATAACATTCATTCAGATATTGATGGCATATATAACTCGTATTTTATATCAAAAGAGGTATAGAAATGAGTTTATACTTACTTTTTATATGATTTATTGATATTTAAAAACTTATAAATAAATAACTTTATATCTAAATAGGCATCCGATATGATGGACATCCAAAAGTTAAGGGCAAATCCCGATGAAATACTTATTGAAAATGTCGACAAAATAGCGACACTAATCAATAATTTTTTTAAAAAGTGATTTTTATTTAGTAAATAGTAATCACAATATAAATAGTTTTTTTTTTGTTATATTAGGATATAAACTATTCATATAATGTTTATTTTATTACTTTATTAGGATATAATGTTAAATATGAATCATATGATATTATAATTTGATTAATTAATAAATTAATAACATTGACTTTTAATATTAATAATAATGTTTATTTGTTTTTTTGTCATATTATCATTAGCTATAATAATATGATACGATATTTTATATACAAGTATTAAGTAAAACTTAATACAGTATTTATTGTATCATATTATTAATAATATACTTGATGTTTTATTTGAATTGTCAAAAAAAATAACAATAATAATATTTATAATATAATATTATCTTATTTTAATTTCAATATTTTTTGATTCAAAACAATTTTAATTTAAATTTTTAAATAGATTAAAAAATATGTTGTAATTATAGATAAGTGTTAAATAACATTATACAGTACACACATAATTACCAACAAATGCAATATCTATGATAATAATAATAATATTATTATTAATATATTAATCATATCTAAACATTTGATTTTTAAAGACATTGAATAATTTGTTTTAATTTATAGACAACTTAAAGCTGGTTTAGGTTAGCTATTACTGGATACATGTCATTGCCAGCCATTAATTAATTATTTATATTTATATATTTTATTTGCTATATATATATTCAATATATTAATCTCTCAACTGATTTTGTCATTAATTAGAAATTTTTATTTAATAAATAAACAATAAAGTCGCCAATATTTTTATTTTATATTTATATTTAGAAAAAAAACAAATCATATGATTATAAAAAAAATTAGTGTAAATTAATAACATTAGTATAAATAGTAAGCAAAATATTTATATAATATTAATGTTTAAAGTATTGCTTTCTCTCTTAAAGTTAATTATATTTATTAATAATTTGTGTTTTTAATAAAATAATAATAAAGTTTTTTTTTATTATATACTAAAATATTTGATATATTTAAAATATTAATAAATGTTTTTAATACAATTTTATACCAATCAAAATATAGTGAAATATATTTTTCAAATTGATATAAGTTAATTTTATTTTTTATTTTTTTTTTAAAATCGATATAAATAAAAATGACTAATAAAATGTCATATATGGCTATTGATATGGATTTATATGATGTGCCAAAAAACAAACAACAAATAATAAAATATAAATCATTATATTTTCGTGATTTTTTAGCTGAACTATTCGGTACTTTTGTTATGAATGTAAGTGTAATATTAAAATAATATTTTAATATATAAATTAAATGAGAAAAAAATTACATTTAAAAAATTATTAATATTAACACTAATACTAATTTAATAATAATAATATTATTGATAATAATTTATTAGTTATTGGTAACGGGTTGTGCCGCTTCCTATACATTGAAAGGTCATAATTCAGTTAGCGATCTATTGGGCTCAGCCATAGGTACGGCCATTGGTGTACTCCTGGGTGTATCGCTAACTATATCAATATCAGGTATTAATTTTATAATTTATATTTTTATATTACAGTAATAGATACAAATAAAAAAAAAACAATCAATTGTTGCATTTAGTTATTAACAATTATTTTTGTTGTATGTGTTTAACAAATCAGGAGCCCATCTGAATCCGATTGTCACAATAGGACTGACATTAATCGGAAAGTTTAGTCACAAAAAAATTGTTACCTATTTGTTGGCCCAGTATTTGGGCGCATTGTTGGCCACAGCACTTGTATTTGCCAACTATTATAATGCTATCGACTTTTTCGACAGTGGTATTCGGTCGGCTTATGGCCACCATACTAGTACGGCTCATATATTTACTACATTTCCCGATTCAACGGCTACACTGACAACTATACTAATGGATCAGGTATTAAAAAAAAATACTAAACGATAACTTTTTTTTTATAACAATATATCTAATAATTATGTATTTTTATGGATAATTTGTAGATTATTTGCGCTACAATTGTAATGGTATTTGTGATGGCAGTACTTGATGATAGAAACCTACAGATACCTCAGTACATGGTACCGGTGCTCATCAGTCTAATCATAAGCGGTATTGTCATATCGTTTGGTGTCAACTGTGGTGCAGCCCTTAATCCGGCTCGCGATCTATCGGCCCGTTGTTTCCTAACGTTTGTCGGCTACGGTAACGATGTATTCAGTCCATTGAATGGTCTCTATTGGCTTATCGGTGGTGTCGTTGGTCCACATTTGGGTGCACTTATCGGTTGTTCACTCTATTTGCTATTCATTGAATTGCATCACACAAACAACAAACATGAAACCATTGCACTCATTCAGCCAACAAATTGATTAAAAAAAAATCTCAATTATTTTCATTATTTAAATTATAATTAAATATAATACAATATAATAGTATAATATATAACATCCCCGCCCGCCATCCCGATAATACTCTTTCTTTATTTATTTATTTTGTAAAAATTTTTGTAAATACTGTAAATAAAAAAATTAATTTATTATTTTGCTATTATAAATAACTTTCATATATTTGAAGTTCATTGAATTTTTGATATATCTATTTATCTCTATTTTTGTTTGCTGTGATAATCAGTATGCTTTCAATATTTTTTTTATTAATATTTCAGTATTAATATTAGAAAATTTCCTAATTATTAGTTTAATGCAGTAATCACTAGTAAAATGATTATTCAATAGTATATCAGATTTTAAGTACCGGTATATTAAAGTTAAAGTAATGTACAGTTACTACACTACTAGAGTATAATCAATAGATAGGAAATATTAAGTACATTATGATTATTAATATATTACGTAATAAATATTTTAACTAGCTTAAATAATATTTTTAATCTAATTAAATAACATTTTACATTATAAATAATAGTATTATTACAGTATTATTATTAATAACTAAATTTTTGGTTACTATTTAATAGTACTGCATCAATATTATCAACTATAATCTAATCTAATAATTTATATTTATAATAGTAATCAAATATAAAAATTGTATAAATTTTGAAATAATATTTGTATAATGTATAGAAAATTGATACCGGTTAGTAATTTTAAATTAAGTAATATATATTTTAAAAATTAATCCACATAAGTTTAATATAAATTTTAATAATAACTAGAATACTTGAGATATTGAATATTATTAATAAACATTTAAAAATCTAATTAATTATTTTTTTTGACATTTAATTATTTGATGTTTAGAAAATTTATTGAAACTAATTTTTGTTGATATATTAATATTATTGTTGATCGATATATTTTTTCCATAGATATTGACATTCATTTATCTTTAATCCGACACCAAAATTGCTAATAGGTTTGGGTTTATCTGAGATCTCATAATAGGTTTCAATAGTATTATCATTAAGTGTATAATATGATTGCCATTCAACTCCATTAATGTTTGCCGGTTTCCTAATAATATATATATTGTATATTATTAATAAATTATTTAGATATTTAATATTATTTTTGTTGATATCGTTTGATACAAACCCTGTTTTGGCAAAAGTGCTAAATATGTCAATCATTTGAGCAGATATTTGTCGTTCACTGTCCAGAAAATCTTCGGGTTTCCAAAAGGGTACACCAAATACAGGATAGATATCATCAAAATGACAGACACCCATCCAATGTGAACACAACAGTTTCGGGGTTAGACCTACTTTACTGTTATAATAGTATTGATAAACACGACTAGTTTGTCGATCATTTTCATAGACAAGTCGGCCATATTGTAGCGCAGGACAGCCTAATAGATAATCGCCAATCGCTACGCCAATTGTTTGCCGCAACTGATCGCTAGTAGTAGTCTTGTCCGATAAGCCATGAAAGTAGAGTTTGGCCACTGATTCCGTATCAATAGGTTCTTTCGATTGCAACCGAGCCGACAGTTTTCTAAGTTCATCGTAAGCCACTTGATATGTGATGTTTGCCGGTTGGAACCGATCATATAGGACAGGATCGACATTCATGAGCGACAATATCCATGAGCCTTCATCCTGAGTGGTTCCTACCATCAGATTTATTGACTTTTTATAGTCACCCGACTCCAGCATCTTCAGTGGTCGCGACGGTATCAGCTGTCCGTCAATAATTACTTGAGTTGTCCAACCGATTTGTTTATCGGCCAATACGGGCAAAAATGGTATGGCCGCTAACTGATCGGCCGGTGCCGCCATCAGACAATCAATTGTCTCTTTTCTAAACTCCTGACTCTCACTGCCGTCACCACAGCCAATAGCTTCGGCGCCTTTTAGCCATTTGTCGCGTACGGCTTCGGGATCTTCACCAGCATTTCGATTGATGGCCGCACCGGACATCATAATTGCATTCCGGAACAGTCGGCGACTAATCGGCGACAAGATATGCAAACTTGTTGACCAACTGCCGGCACTGTGACCGAACACTGTTATCCTATTGGGATCTCCACCAAAATATCTGATATAATCGTTGACCCACTCGAGCGCCACCGTCTGATCCCATAAACCCATATTACCCGGAGCGTCATCAGTAGCCGTATAGAGAAAGCCCATAGTGTTAACTCTGATATACAAAAAAATGGACAGTTGTTTCAAGTTTTATTATATTTTAGTAAATATAAAGTAACAAACCTGTAGTTAACAGTTACGACAACAACATCGCCGCGTGTAGACAATACTTGTCCATTAAAATACTTTTCAACCGACGAACCGACAATCAGTGCTCCGCCGTGAATGAAAAACATGACAGCCTTGAGCTCAGAATCGTTGTCCGGGACTACCTGTTCTCCCGGCGACCATATATTCAAATGTAGACAATCTTCGCTAAATGTTTGATTGTTAAAGTTTTCAGGAAACATATGCAACTGATGACACGGTGACGACCATTGTTCGGCATTGATTACCGACGGCCACGGATCAGTCAACGGTAGCGGCCGTTTGAATCTTAACCGATCTACTGGTGGTTCGGCATACGGTATACCCAGAAATACATTAACTGGTCGGCCATCGATTGTCTGGTGTTTGCCACGGATTTGACTATTTTTTACGACAACAGTGACTGCACTGTCATTATTATCGTCAGCGCAACAAACCATACATATTATTAGGGCATTTATAATGCAAATACTAATAATATTATTATTATTATAAACAAAGTTTTTAGACATTTTCATTGTCATGTTTTCTATTAGACAGTCATTTCATAATATAATTTACTAATATATTTGACAACTATTTTATTTTCAGACAGAAAAATGTCATTTAATTTAACTGAAAGAAAATAATGTCATATTTTATCTATTTTTTAGAGAAAAAATTAAGTCTTTTGAAGGTTGATATTGATGTATAACATTGAAGGACATCTCTCTCTCTCTCTCTCTCTCTCTCACTCACTCATTCACTCCACTCACTCACTCACTCACTTTATAACTTTTTATCATAATATTTAGATATATGATATTTATTTAATCTAATAACTAAATTAAAGTCTAGCGCTGATTATTTATGTTATCAAAAAATTAAATATTATATATGAATTAAACAGCAAACAAACAAAAATAGCAAAATTTTAAAAATTATAGTACTGATCCATTAATTTGATGAAATTAAATTTTCAAAAACCTTATAATTAATATTTTAATATTATGTATAATATGGTATATCTTTTATGGAATAACACAAATAAATTATTTTTAAAAATATTATAATGTGTTAATTATACAACAAATATTGTTTTTTTTCTAATGTAGTTAATATATAGTTTTAAAAAAAATATTTTTTGTAGATATGATAATATGATATCTTTTTTTAGTATAATATCGTCTAGATATTTATTTAAAAAAAGTTTACTAATCAACTAAAACATAAATTAATAATAAAATTATTACATGTTTATCATTAATGAATACTAGTTTTATATAATGATAATATACAGTAATATAGAGTAAATATATATTGTATAATACATTGTTATATTTTTTTATTAAAATTAATTATTTAGTGCGGTTCATAAAAGAGATATTAACTAAAACAAAAATCTTATATATTTTTTGATTATCTTTTAAATTATTTTTATCTTTATTATTTTATTTTCAAATTAGATTACAATTTTATTTGTAAAGTTTTATTTTTTATATATTTTTTTGTCTTTTTTTAATAATTTGCTTTCAATTTTAATTATTTATAAGTAACAGTATCTATTGATTATTGATTATAACATACAGTACAATATTACTGTATAATAACATAATAGTTAGATTTAAAACTATTTCTAAAAAAAACTTAATTATTAATAATCCTGAATCCTGTTTTATATAATCATATGTAAAACAAAAGTTTGTATTTTTATATTTATATTGATTTTATTTTTTAAATAAAAAAAATAAACATTTGTTTTTACCAAGGTAAATTAATCTTACATTTATCATCATAAATCATATCAGAGTTATACAGAAATTTTTGCGTAATTTTATCGATATCTTGCGGTGACTTATCTTTAATTTGATTAACCGCTCGCCGATATCTTAAGCCATCCGTAGATTTTAGACAATTTTCCACAAAAAATGTCAACTCTAGGACGTCCTCTTTGCTCTGAACCATAGCATATATATCACCATCTAATAATTGATTGGCATATTTTTATTAAATGTTTTCAATAAAATTCAATAATTACTTTTTTTTAAACAAACAAACATACATTTAAAATGTTAGAATTCTAGTAATATTAAAAAATTTATTACTTTTTTAATTAATTAATAAATAATATTTTATTGATTAGTTTATAAATAAAGTTATTATATATAGTGGTATAATAACAGTTTAAAATTAATTGTTTTTAAAACTATAAGTCTTATTCAAAATAAATAAATAAATTATGATATTATATAACTTGTATATACTGTATAGGGTTTTATTAAATATATATTTAATAATAAATTAATGTATTTAACATGTAATGTACAAACAATTATACTTAAATGACTTTCAGTATAATTACTAATCATTTATTGAGTCTAATATATGATAACATAAAACTCAACTTATGATCAAATAATATATTATTTATAATTAATAAAAAAAAGATTATAATAAAAAACACTTACTTAATATTTTTCGCATCAATGGATGAGTTTTACAAAAAATATGATCACTTTGTATTGAATCTATACTATAAACTAATACTAATAAAACTAATAGAAATTTTACTGATATATTTGATGAGACAATCATTTTTCATATAAATAAATAAATTAAAATAACTTATTATTATTATTATTAGACTAAAAATGAGTTAGTTAAGATGCATAATATTTCAATATTTATATATACTGTTAAAAATTTATATACAAAATTCACATATTTTCTTATAATTCATGAGCAATAAAACGACAATTTTACTATAAAACAGCTTTTAATTATTATTTATTAATAAACATTATTTCTAATTAAAAGATACTTATATATTTAGATTTATAGTTTATTTAAGTTTTTTAATATTTATGCAAATTATTGACCAAACATTGTATCTCATGAGACAATATTTCGTAAATATTATTTTTTTGTTAAAATTTTTGTTAAGCTATTTGTTAACTAATTATAATTAAAAAATTATATTAAAAGATCAGGATATATATACTACGTAAATAAAGTTATTATTATTATTATTAGATATATTTATAGATATATCATTAATATTTAAATCTAATAATAATCAAAAAGTTAACAAACATATATTATACTTTAAAAAACAAAAATTTATATACAAATTAAATGTTGAAGAATATAAAATATTATTATTTTAACAATAAATTATATTTTTTATTATAAAACATTACACTATTTTATAGAGTTGTTTAAAATAAATGTTAGAAATAAAACAAATTTATTCAATTTTATAGGAAATAAAAAATTTTATTTAAATTTTCTTTTAATTAATTACATTATTTTTTTCTCAATTATTGTAATATAGATTTTTTATTTAATGACAATAGCATTAAAATATTTAAAATTAATATATTATGTTTTTAAAAATTTAATCTTGTTTTTATATATATATATATATTTTAAATTTATGTTAATTAAAATAATAATTAATAATAGACAAGATAAAATATTAATACTTGATAATAATTGTTTGTTGTTAATAATAATTATGTTGTTATTAATCTTATAATTATTAATAATAATTTAGCAATTAGCTGGCATATGTTGGGCTAACTTTTTTTGTTGAAATTTTCTCAATAATTTTCTATTATTATTATTATTATTAACTTTTTTCTTGAATCGCATCCCATCAAACATTTTGAGGCACTCAAACATATGTGAAAACTGTTTAAACATTTGTTTTGTATTATTCCCATTATTATTGTCATCATCATTATTGTTATCCATCATCATATTAGTTGTAATAGCAATGGGCATCCCATTATCTAAACGTTTGATAGGTGCTGCTGTATATTATATTGTTTAAATACAGTTAGAAAAAATAATAACTTTATTTAAAACTAAATAATTTTTAATAAATAAAAAAAATATTTTATAATAAGACTAGTTCAAAAACATTTTTTAAAAAAAGTTTATAATATATTTATAGATATTAAAATTTTCAGTACAACTTACCATGATGATATTTTAAATGAATTAATATTTGAGGTTTGGCGTCAACAACATAATTAACAATATTATAATTGGCTATTAGTATATTCAATATAATGCAAACTACTTTAATGTAATACATTATGTGATTGAACATCAAAAAAATATATATAACTTTTGTCGACACAAATCATAGGAAAAACTTTGTGATCCGCATATCAATGAAATAACTAATGTTTTTTCAGAAATAATTTAGTTTTTAAATATTCAAAATGCACTTTAAAAGCAATATTTTCTATTATACACTAACAGTATATAAATAAATCATAAAATATTTTTTAGTTAAATGATATAAGCATTGAAATTAAATTTTTATAAAATTCTACTCTATTTACTTTATATAAAACAATATTCATCAAATTGCTTATATTATATATATATATGATGATATTTGTTTTATATTATATATATATAAAATTGGCTATTTTTTAAAAACAACAATAAATAATATATATATTTTAGATTTTACTAAATAATAACAAGTGTATTGACTTATCTGGTTTACGTGTATTATAAATATGACTTATCGATAATATTATAAATAGATAAATATTTTCTTAGTTTCTAGTTATATACTATATATATATATATACAAACTATATTAATAAATGTATATAAGTAATGAAATTAAAACTAATGATAGTCAACATTTTTCTTAACATATTATGATATGGTATACCTATGTTATATCAAAAAACAAATTACTATAAATCATTAAATATTTAAATTAGTTCATATTTTATTGATATATATTATATACTGTATTTGATTTGTATGCTTTGATTTGATACTATAAATATATATAAATATATATATATATAATATATTGAATAATACTGTATTAAGTGCATCAACTATTCATAATGTTTTTTTCCTATTATGTCTAATCATTTAACATTGATAAATGTCATGTAATATAATTAAAAATAATAATTTCGATAATTTGCTAAAATAATAATTTACATATAAATTACATCAAACTTACCGAAAAAATTATGAATTAAATATTAGATGTGTTTCATTAATATTTATAAATATTTAATTTATTTAATTAAAATCCTAGTATAAATTACATATAAATATTTTATTTACTCATACAAATATAATATTATTAAGAAAAAAAAATTTAATTTATATGTTAATATATTATGTTGAATAGATATAAATAAAAAATATATATAAGACAATTCATTTATTATTGTTTATCTGTTAATTTACTATCGATAAAGAATATTATATTTAATTCAAATAAAAAAATAAATATTACTAATCAGTATCAATCAAAAAAAAAAAATATTTAATGTTAAATAGGTTTTTATATCACATTATTGTATTTTATTTACAGTTACTTGAAATGTAATGTAAAAATATTGTCTACTCTATAATAATTTTTTTTTAAATATTTAAAAATATTTCGTATATTGTTTATGACTTTTTTTTTGTATTGAATATAAAATATTTTTACAAATTTAGTAAAATATTAATATTAAATGTTGTTTATAAGGACTTAATTTTATATTAAAGCATTATTAATAATAGTAATAAAACAATTAGACAGTTAGTTTTAGTTTGAAATTTTTTTTTAAAAAATAATAATAAACTTGTTTAAATACCTTTTATGTCCTTCAAATTAGTAATAATAAAAATAACAAAAAAAACAAGTGATTACAGCTATTATAATGAAATTGTGAATCTTAGTACAACATGTATTTAAGACACAAACAAAAAAACAATAATAATAATAATAATAATAGTAATAATAATACTATTGTAGACATTTTTACAACATATTTGTGTTCAATAAAGTGTGATAATTTATACAAAGATAAAATATATATTATTTACTTGAAAAATATTAATATATCTATTATTTTTGAAAATAGTTGTAAAATGAAAATTTATCATGTTTTAAATATTTATTTAATAATCATAATAATAATAACGATATTAATTTTAAATATATTGTGTGCCAGTAGAAAATTTAAACATAATAATGATGAAATAAAATTAACAAGGAAAATTTTTATAAATCAACCAAAATGTTTGTCCAATGAGTTACCGATAATTATACACTCGGCCGCACATAGTTCGGGTAAATACTATGATAGACGACAAGTAAGCCGCGAAACTTGGGTCAGGGATGCAAAACAAAGACATATGAGACCATTGTTTATCATAGGATTGCCTAAAACTAGACAAACACAGCGAGAGCTGCAATTGGAGGCCAAACAACACAACGATATGTTACAGTTTGGCTTCAAAGATGATTACTATAATTTAACATTAAAAGTACAGTATATTTATTATATAAAGTATATACAAATAAAATATATTCAATATTAACAGCTTATATACACATCATATAAACTTTATGTAATTAATGTGTATATAAGCTGTTTATATTCAATATATTTTATTAGTTTTTAATTAAAATTATAAACTACACCAACAAATATAAGTTATTTATTTTAATAATAATATCTTTAATGTTTTATTTATTTAGTTTTCTTTCTAAGATTTATATCTAAATATAGTTTAAACATATAATTTATATGATATAAATACTATACATGTATAAGTTAATGTTTGATTTATAGTAAAAGAAATAATGTTAAATTAAAATATTCACAAAAAATATTACAAATTTAGAATAATTCAATTTTTATTGAAATAATAATATATTTATTAAAATATAATTTTTTCTAAACTATTATAATATATCATTTTTAATAATTTTTTTATATTATATAATTAAAGGCTATTTCTGCAATGGGATGGATAGTCGAAAACTGTAACAAAAGTGATTATTTAGTTAAATGTGATGACGATGTACTGATAAATGTTGATTTATTAGACAAAATAATAAAAAATAGACAGTTTGCCGACGGTATAACAGGTAAAATGGCCGTAACCCGTAGTAATCGTTGGACAGGACATAAGTGGTATATGCCTCGGGATGTCTACACAAGTAGTTACTATCATTTTCTCTATGGATTTAGTTATGTAATGACAATCAAGAGTGCAAAACAAATGTATAAAACATTGTCTTCAAGTAATTTCAGTGAACCTGTGCTCGACATTGACGACCTGTTTATGACCGGTGTGTTAGCCCAACGTTCCCGAGTCAGGATATATCACGACAATCGGTTTGATTACTATTGTCACACTAATGTATGTCCGCTAAACAATATGCTTGCAATACATGGATGCGATTCAGTAAATAAAACTTTATACATATGGGATAAATGGCAAAAAAGTAACGATAGTCAGTGTTTTGATAGACGTTTCCCATTTGATGTTGATTTCGGTAATGACTTTAGAGTCTCATTCAGTATTAACTCGTTCAGGGATTTTGTCAGAAACATAAGCCAACAGTTTTTTGGACAACCCTTTACTTCATCTAATATTAGACTTTATAATTATAATTAATTTTTTATTAAAGACTACATTTTTAAAAACATTTTATTACTCTTATAAGTTTATTGTATTACCGATATCTAAATAAAACATTAATTACTTTATTGTTATAAAATTAAAAATATTTATAATAATATTTTGTATTAATTATACGAAAAAGTATAACAATAAAAAAATTGTTAAACACACTAATTAAAGAAAAATATTGGATTTTTAAATAAACAAAAATCGTTTATATTATTTAATATTATTTAATATTATTTAATATTATTTAATATTATTTAATATTATTTAATATTATTTAATATTATTTAATATTATTTAATATTATTTAATATTATTTAATATTATTTAATATTATTTAATATTATTTAATATTATTTAATATTATTTAATATTATTTAATATTATTTAATATTATTTAATATTATTTAATATTATTTAATATTATTTAATATTATTTAATAAATTAATATATAAAATATGTTATCCTCGTTGTAGTAATGATTTGGGAAGTTTTTCATACGGATTGATAACAATTAAATCGCTTAATAGTTTATGTCTGCACTGATTATTGCATATATTATTAACTGAATAATCACTGAATCGATAATAGTATGAATAAAACAAATTGAAATATTGTTCATAACTGGTAATCAAATTATATAACTGATTGAATTGATTTGCCGTAAAACTGGTTATTGAGTATTGATTTTTCATTGAATACTCATAAAACCAAAGCGGAGTCCTTACGGATGAACCGTTCAATTGGTTGGCATCTGTTATGTTGAAGAAAAATGTCTCGATATCACTGATAATACCTAATAATAATATATATAACTATAATAGTAATAAACAACAAAATAAACAAAATAATGATCATATCTTTAAATAAATACCATTTTGTTGGACAGTTATTATACGATAGGATGGATTGAATTGTTCAAAAGTGGTCAAACTTGGCGACAATATTTGTACACCAATTGGTCGGCTTATGTTATGATTTGAATAGAGTAGCCGAAACTCGTCGGCGTGTGTGTGACCAAAAAATTGGCCAACAATTAAATGTTGGAACCGTTCAACTATGGCCAAGTAGTTATACACCCAAGCCTGTGTGCACTCGCGATTATCTACCGGTACGTGACCAACAATGTGTACCCGATAGCCGTCACTCTCAGCAATAACCAACTCTTTGATAAGCCATTTAAGCTGATTGGCCGGATCTACCGGATCATAGTATGTCCATATGTTTAAACGGGAACAGTAGTTTGTATTCAAAACAATCACACGAAAGCCTTTATTGACAACATATGTATAATAACCGGCACTTATAATATTTTTGATATAATAAATTGTTTGATAAATAATAATTTTGTTAATATTGAATTTGATTACAGTATATAATAGCAAATCGAAAAAATATAATATTAATCAAAAAAATGTTTAAATCATATCTTACAGTACTTACTAACGAAGCAATTGTTGGGCATCTTTGGGCAACCATTGAGCCCAGTGTTGGGCCAATTCATCGTAAAGCCATGAAATTGAATAAGAGTTTTGTATAGAAGGCGGAGGAAAACTATTGATGTTTTTTAAAAAAAACAAAAAAACTATTAGATATAAAAAACACATAAAATAACTGCTTTTTTTCTACGAATGCCTAACCAATTGACAGGAACTGTCTCGTGATTGCCAACAACTGGTACGACACGACTACCGTTGCTATACTGGACAAGTAGTTTAGTTAGTAGTGCCATATGTCTGATATTATCCTCTTTACTATATTTCCATATATCATGTGCGACAATATCTCCCGTCCAATACCATAGATCCACGTGTTTAGTATTTTTGAACATTTCTGTGAATGCATTCTCCACTGTCCTCAACGGTATATCGCATGGATATGAGCCCCAAATGCCGGCATTTGTTATATTATTAGTGTTATTATAAGGCGAGTCATTCATAGCCAACGATCGACAACATATGGGTTCGTTGCACGCGATTTGACTACCGGAGCGATACTCCAGATCCAGATGTATGTCCGTTAAGTGTAATATCTGACTGGTCTTTACACCGACGGCGCTATTGCTTCTCATGTTCTGATAGTTGCTATTTTGAGATAACATGGGCTCAGGTATGTCCAGTTTCCAGAAAATATTATCCGATCGACCAATAAAACACTGACTGCCCAACAGTACACCGCAAACTTCGGTAGCCTTGAGTCTAGTATTGAGTCTAATAAAGTTGACGGTGTCTTTCATTTGGTCTATAAGTCCCACACATACTCTCGGCGACGATAGTTGTAATATAATGCACACCTCGTGAATGGCCAGTGACATAGTGTCGGCACCGATCACATCGTTCAACATTAATGTCGATAAGGAGTGACAGCTCAGACATGTGATGGCCGAGGAGGCGCCCTCACGGACAGCATATAATAACTTTTAATTATATATTTTTTTTATTAATTATAAATATTAAATATTATATTTATTTATAGTAATATGAATCATAAACTAGTAATCTAATAATTTGATTAAATAGTTTTATAATTTAAACAAAAATTTATTAATAAAATGCTGACACCTATTGAGCATTATTTTGACATTTGTATAATAATTATTTATTTATTTTAAAAACTTAAGTTTTAATATAACTTTTATGTTAATATTTTTTAAAAAAAAATTTGATGACTTAAATAAAGGTAAATTTATTTTTTTATTATAATGTAAATGCCTTTATTTACTATTTACTACAAAATTTTTATAATAAAATTTCAAATAATATATAATATGCAGATATCAATAGTTTTATTTTAAAAACATATTTTAGTACTACTTTATAGTATAATAATAATTTAAAAAGATATACAATAGCAGTAATTTAATTTAATAAAATATAATATAATATAAACTTACATTTGTGAATCCAACAACATTTAATATTTTTAAAACATTATTAATAACATATGAAAATCCATTTCGTTGTAAATAAATTGTATAATTATTAAAGTCATTGATTTTATTAAATATTTTCGATAACTTCCTGATGTCATTCAATTGACTTAAAGGTCTAGATTTTAACGGATATTTAGTTGACAATAGTTTTGTCAAAAATGATTTCAATGATTGTTCATTACTAGTGATGCTGTTTAACAATATTATAATTATCACTAACTTTACAAACATTTTCATCTCATAAAAAATAAATTATTTTTGTTTATCAAAATCTAGAAAATTTTTATCCGGAAATCTAAAAATTGTTATAAATATTTGTGTAATGTTTTTTATGCGGGTTATACATAATACTATTAGCTTATAATTAAAAGTTATTAAAGTATTTATTATTATTATTACTAAACTCTAGTTATTAATCTCTAAAATAATAATATTATTATATTATAATAAAAGTAATTATCTAATGTTCAATATTTAATATCATTTTAGTATTGTTTTTAAAAAAATAAATCAATAATAAAGGAATTTTACAAAATATAAATTATCAAAATTATGTGAAATATTTCTTGAACTTTTACTAAATAAAAATATAATTGACATAGTTTTTATTTAAACAATTTAAGCAATAAAAATACTTTTTAATATAACAATATTTTTTAATCACATAACAAATTAACTTTTGATGCACTTACCAATTATTTTAGCAACTAATTAAAAATAATCTTTTTATTAAAATTTAAAAATTATTTTGTTTAGTTAGGTATCTACAGGTTATGATAATTGATTTATTAGTTAATTATCAATATGATCTGTTACACCCATAAACAGATAGACACCGTTATCTCTTTGTCTAATAAAGTAAATGAATGGCCGGTCGACTTTGATTTCAATGGTTTCGGGCGGTAGTGACGAAAACATGACCACATCGACGGCCGATGCGGCCGACGCTTCCGTTCCCTCTTCGTTCACTTGGATCACACACTTATGGATAAACTAAATAAATAATTAATTAATTAAATTAAATTAGATTTTTATTAAACTATAAAAAAACATAATTTAAAACAAAATTGTCAATAAAGTTAAGTATATAACTAGAGGTTAGACACTACACACTACTGTTATGAAAGTATATTAAATCTAATCTTTAAGTTCAATATTTTTCTAAATTTTTATTTAATTTCTAAATAAACTCAAAAAATTTAAATATTAATAAAAATTATTATTTTTTATGTTTTATATAATATATTAATATATATATAAGACAATCACCCGGACATACATCAGACACGTATAGACCTTTATTTCCGTTGATTTTAGAAAAGTCTGCTTTGGATGTGAAGGTATGGGTCAAACCTAAGCTCTTCAGACTAGTCTTGAGCTCAATATCTGATTCAATGGTAAACTTTGGAAGCCATAGATCGATGTCCTGTTCGGTGGCCGACTGGATCTTCTTGTTAATCGTATCGATGGTCAATGAGCTTAACAAACGCTTAATACTATGACTATCAATAGTTTTGGGTAAAATAATATAAAAGTCCAAACGGTTGCCCTCATAGGCCATACCCAACATTTTGAAACCCAGTTTCTCATCATCAATGAAATTGTACTTTTGTTTCTATAAAAAAATTGTTAATTGGATATTAAATGTAAACATTATAAAATTATATATTATCTAACTAATATAGTAATTACATTAATTGTTTTTACAATAAACTAAAAAATAATGTTTTTAAATTATTTGACTTTAATTTATTATTACTTATATTTATACTACAAAATTGTTACCTCTATTTTCATGGTGGGTACCATAACTTTATTGCGACCATAATTGTTGAACGGTTCGGGTTTGGTATCCTGAGGGGCAAAAGGTGTTGCCCATTTGCCCTTAAAATGTAGGGCATTGACCAATAACATAACTGTATTGGGTGTTACCGACGTAATTAGTTGGTCAATCTGGCCGCCAGTTTTATCGGCAATATAGCTATTAATACTATCGATTGATTCTTGTTGACCAAAATTGACAACTTTGACCAAAGAGTCGTAAAAGTTTTTAACTATATTTTGATAGTTGTCTCCCAACTTGAATGTATCGCTGATGAACACACCGTTAGCCATGAGTACCTGTTTGTTGTCTGTATTGTTATTAATAGACATGAGTTTTGATTTCCACCATTTCCTCAGTTGGATGTCGTCATCCAAACCAATGTTCAATGTTTTTCCCAACTCTTCTCTAGTTTTACCATTACTTCCGTGATATAACATCGCAATGATTGCCAATACACTTATCGGTGATATAATTAAATTAGTTTTCTTATCATTAGTTGTTTCACTTTTAAACAATTGGTTTAATAATTTTAGACCCAATTTATTATAGCTGTTTGCTGTTTGATTAGTTGCTGACTGGACTGCACTACCATTAGTTGTCATCATTGAAAATAATAAACAATTAATAATAATAATAATAGAAAACAAAAAACTAATTAATTTAGACATTTTTTGTTTTGTTTGTTTAGTTACACAATATTTTTAATTACTAGAATATATTACAGTTGTATAATGTATGCATGTTTGCGCCATTAAAATAATAATTAATTATAAAAATAATTTATAATATCTACAAATATATATATATCATAAATATAATTAAGTTTGAATTAATTAATAATCTAATTGTGAGAAAAATTACAGATGTTTTTTGTTTTAAATGCACTATTTTAATGCTATTAAGTAAATTCAATCATAACCTTTTTTTTGTGTACAATAATTACAATCAAACTTTACTTAAAAATAAACTATAATTTTTACAATAAATTTTAATTAAAGATAACTTATTAAACACACACACAAATAAAATGTATATAATAGTATAGTTTATTAAAAATATATATTAAATATTATTTTAGTTATAATTTAATAATTTTCTTTAACAAAAACTGGATGCGTGTCAAACATTTTAGGCCTACGATTCTCATACAATGAAATCAATTGTTGTCGATATTGTTGATCACTATGGGATCTAATGGGATGTTGTATTTGATTATTATAATTATTATTATAGATTTGATTATTAACATTATTATTTTTATAAGTTGATCTAATATAGTAATCAGCGTTTTGAAGTAATTCATTATCATTAATATTATTGTTATTAATATTATTAATCCTATTATTATTTGCAAATTGTTTCAAATAGTTATTATTTGTTTGTTGATGATCTACAACAGCTACTAATCTTTTATTATCATGAATTAATGGCAAATTTGAAATACTATTGTCATTGTTTGTATAGATTACTCCAGAATTAATTGGATGTCTATTTATATAACTATACTTTTCTCGGACATCCAGTGCCGGTAAATAGGACTGTAAGCCATATTGTTGTTGTTGTTGTTGGACATCATCAACGCCTGATTGTCTACCACTTTGATTATCTCTTTTAATTGATAGTGATTTTGTTGATTTGTATATTTGCTGTTTATTGGCTGTACTATGAATGGCTGCTTCCTCTTCTTCATAGTTGTCTTGTGGTAAGTAAACATCTGACTTATAGGATAGCGATATGAGTTGTCGTTGTTGTGGTGGTGTATCTCTTAATTTTGGTATCAAATTATCAAATTTACTGTCGATGATAATGGTATCAAATAGTGGTCTCATTGTTGTTGTCGTAGTAGTAGTAGTTGTAGTTGTGGTCAAAATCTGTGAATAAGTGTTAGTTTTGATGTCTGATCTGTTAATTGATTGTTTGTTTTCATATGTTTTGCTGCCATTAGTACTGAACTCATGATTTCTTCTCAATATAAATGATCTCATTTGGAAAGGTATTGAACCAATTGATCCAACTTTTGTAATGTTTTGGTTTCGGTCCGACGATTCACTTAATCTATTATCAGATGATAGTTGTGTCACAACATTGGGTAGTAATGGCCGACGTGTTATGGGTGTCCTTTGACCGGCACTGTTGCCTATAATAGTAGTAGTAATACCCGTTGTATTTGTCGGTTGTCTTTCAATAATAGCATCAATTGTAGAGCTCGAGCCCATCCCTGTGCCTGAATTTGTCTATAAAACAAAAAACTCAATTAAAAAAAAATATACTATTATTAATATATTTTGGTTTATATTATTTTCACAAATGTTATATACATTATATGAATTTACTATATTATCTTTTGAAAACAACTAAATTAATATAGAAAAATATTTATTTTTTAAATCATAAAAATTAAAAAGTTTTACTTAATAATTATAAGTTTACATTTATTATTATACTATTATTAAAAAACTGTTTTTAATGTAGTGCATATCAAAATTATCTAATTAAAATATGTGAAAATAAAAATAAATTATTTTATTATACAGTTTTTGATATACAGTAATGTAATATACTATTTAAATTATATTATTTAAATATATAAATAATACTGAATATATATAAACAGTTTAAAAAATAATATTATTGATATTAAAATACAGGTTATAAACATATAAATATTTATAATGTTTAACTATAAGCACTTAAAAATATGTAATCACTAAAAATCTTTTTAAAAAAATAACAAAATAACTTTAAAATATCAAAATTAAATAGTTTAGTAAAAGTTATTTTCCCTTTTGAATTAATATAGTTTTTTAAAATTATGTTTTATTAATACCATGTATGGCAAATAAAAATACTGAGCAAATTATTTTTCAAATTAAAAATCAATGTTTTTAATATATTTAATATATATTATCAAATACTATAATTATTTATAAAAACTACTCACAAAAATTGATATATAAATAAACTTACATTTTTAAGTGTATCATATTGTTGTTGGCTATCATTGTTTGATTGCTGTAAACTTAAATAACTGAGACATATAACTGAAAAATAATTTATTAATAATAATAATTATATCATTATATCTTATTAATAAAGTATTATAAATAAAAATAAATTTTTGTAAATATATATATATATTCAATAAATAAATTTTATACTTACGGACTAAAATAAAAATTATGACCAATATAAATATACATTTATTAAGCTTATCTGGCATTTAGATATAAAATATAATAAAATATTTTATTAGTAAATATATTACTATTAAATTATTGCCAGCATTTTTGTATATAGTTTGTATATAAATTAATAAATTTATTATTATTAAAATAACATTAATAATAATAATATTTATTAAGAAATTTTAAAATACAATAAATATATTAATACACAATATTTGTCCCTCAATTGCATAGCTTTTGTTAATAATAAGGAATTTCCTTATAGTTATAGAAAACAAAAATAGATTTATAATAAAAATATAGTTGTTTAGTATTTTTTTAAATAAAATAAATATAACAATTAGTGTCATTACACTTCAAGTAAAATATTGTATGACATTATATATTATTTGTTAAATATTAAACGGCAAATGGCAATAATTATCTGTATTATAAACCATATAAATATTAAATATATAAAATTTATATTGAAATCATTTTAAGTGTAAAAATATGGTTAGACTTGATTGACTTTTTCGGTCATTGATAACCAAAAAAAAAAAAATATAGACTTGTATTGTATATAACTATTTCAATGGCGGTCTATATTTAATATTATTTGTTGTATTTATTATTAGTGACCGTCATATCTGATTAATTATTGAATACTTAAAAAAAATTTTGTAAGTATATATTAAATAACATTATTTTATATGTATTGTATATTTTAGTTTACATATACAATTATAAAAAAAATATTTTTTTTTATTTTATAAAATAATATCTTTTAAAATACTTTAATAAAATAAAATGTGTTTGTAGGTTTAGAAAAACAAACAAACAATATAAACATTGAAAAATTGTTACATAATTATTTTAATTTATGAATATTTATTTATACTGTAAACAAAAGTTGTTTTTTAAATTAATTTATTAAGATAAATATTAAATTTTTACATAATAATAATAATTATTATTATTTTTTATTATCAATTTAACAATTAAGTTATTATATTAAATAAATGTAGTTTTTATACAGATATCTTTATTATTTTTTTATTATATTTTATTAATTACTTTATATAATAAAATTATTATATTTTTAAAATTATTATAGTTTTATTCTAAATGTATTTTAAATAAAAAATCCAAAATCTATTTGTATTTTATATACTTTACTATAATTAGAAACAAAAAGTTACTGTAAGTGAGTCCTATAAGTATTACACATGATTTATCTAAATGTTAATATTATATAATAAATAAATAAATAAAATCATTTAAAAAATATCATTTAGTATAGTAATAAATGTTCAAAAATTGACAATTACTATCATAAATACAATTAATCTGATAAATAGTCATTGAAATCATGTTTATTGTCGTCGACCACAAAATATTTGTCATTATTATCATCAATTGGTTGTCTATTGTTGTTGTTGTGGTGTCTGAATGCCAATCGTTGTCTGCCATCCCTTTGCTGCCAAATCTTTTTGAATATAATGGCCAATCGATTGGTGACCGTAGTGTCCGATCGGCGGCCAAATCGGATGGGTATTCGCAAACAATTTTCACAATATTCACTATCAGTTACTATCAATGATGACAACTCACGTGTATTACACTTAAGAAAACACGTGGTATCCATGTCTTTGGCAATGTTTAGATTAACCAATTGATAGACTATCAGCAATAGTGATAATATTGATGCCATCTTTTTCTTTGACATAAATAACATTATATATTGCAGAAAAACAATATATTATAATCACTTATACATCCGACAAAAATATTGTTTTTATATATAAAATAACATTATCCTAAATGAACTAATATTTTATATCCACTTATAGTATTGAATATATATATATATATATATATATATATATACTGTATATTATAATACTGAATATAAATAGTACTCTATCTTTTTCTATAACATATGTTAATTATAAAATATTTTCTCTCTAAAATAGACATAATATTAATAAACATAATATTTATGTTAAATTATTAATTAAAATAATAATACTTTATATACTATATATTATATTAAATTTATAGTGAGATATACTAAATGTTGTGCATATATACAGTTATATATATATATTAAATGTTATTGTATAATATTAATTTTTTATATATATTCATCATTATATGTTTATATACTATTGTATATTCACAAAAAACAGTATAATTACTATTTCATTAATACTGATAATTATTATAATTAATAGTTATTATAGTTATATTGCCTGCTGACTAATTATAAAAACTTAATACATTTATTAGTTTTATAACTAAACATTTTTAGATAATTTCTTTAATTAATTAATTTTAACACTATTTTTACTAAAACATATTAAATATATATCATACTGTATTATTACTATTATTATTAAATAAATACAATTTTTTAGTAAAAACTAATATATAAAAAATATATATGTCGATTATTGAATTTGTAAAAATATATATACATTTATATTATAATTTGTAGTCAAGATAAATATCTATTAATAACAATAAGCAACTATAATGTATTATCACTATTCATAATCAGTATAATACTAACTGTAAAACTAATTATTATTTGTCAACTAATAGCCTTTTATTCAATTTTTATTAAATACTGTATATTTATTACATTTACAGTATTGAAATGACATTTATTAATGATTGACCTGATTTGGACCCAAAATGTCTTTTTTTTTAAAAATAAATAAATTTATTTATGCAATATTTCTTTATCAAAAAATATATGATATTTTTATTTAAAAAAACACTATAATATATAAATATAACATATATAATATAAAATTGATTAATAAATAAATAAATAAAAAGTTATAAAATAATTTTTTTTTGTTTTCATAATTATCATTATAATAGTATTGTAGTAATAAATTTTGATTAAAAAAATAATTAGAAAAATAAACTTATATAATATATAAATTTATAATATTACAGTAAATATCTGATATTTAATTATTTGATTTATAATTTACAATAAAATATTTATACATACATTGTAATATGATATTTGATAAATAAAAATTTAAACAATAATGTTATTTTTTCATTTTCATTGATAAACAATTTTAATTAAATTAAAATTAAGCTTAAAATTTTATTTATATAAATAATATTTTAATGTTTTTAAAATCTATAACACTAATTATTAAACTACTTAATGTTTATGTTGTTAAAATGGTATTTCAATTTAAATGTTAATTTTAATTTCATATTAAATAATAATTTTAATAATTTTTAAAATATTTATTAAACTATTTGATTAAAATATATTTAGTTCATGAGACACTTTTCAATAATACAAAATTAATTTATACATTTATAATAATAATTTATTATTATTACAAATAAATTACATTTAAATAATATAATATTATTAGAAAAAAAGGATAATAATTACAAATTAAAAACTAATATATAAATTTTGTTGTAAAAATGATGATATTTATATAAAAAAAATCAATTTTGTTAGCCCATAGGCTTTACTCAACCATCGATAATAAATATTGCAATAAAACTTATGAAATGTTTTACAAATATTGCTAACATTTACACTATTTTTTCAAAGAGAGAGTGATATGAATTCAGATAAACTATAAACTTTACAATATATATATGATATCTAATAAATTTAGTATTTATGTAATATTTCTAATTTATATTATTAAAATTTAATTTATATTTTATATTACTTTAAATTATAAATTACATAAAATATTTTGTTATATTGAAACATTATAATTTATATTATATATTAGAAAAATAAACCATAAAGTTTTCAAATTAATTAAATATTTGTATAAATATACACAACAATAAAAATAATTGAATTGTAAAATATATATTTGATAAAAGTAAAATAGTAAAACAGATAAATAGTTTATATTAAACACATTTAAAAAAAACTTATTTATTAGTATTATAATAATATCAATATTATGTTTTAAAAAATGTACAATTTAAATAGATATTTTATACTATTATAAATGTAATTTTTAATGTAAATAAACTAAAATTAAAATTTATAACTGATATTGTCATATGATTTAATAAAATATTTTGTTTTTTGTTTAAGTTTAAACTGTCAAATTTAATATTTTAATTTTTTACTATTAAAAAAGTTTATGTTAACTAAAAAATAAAACAATCTAGTTTAATCAGATTAGCAAATAATGTTTTTAATAAAGTTTTAAAGCTCAACCAGTTTTAATTTTATTTATTTATTTTAATTATAAAAGTATATAAAAGTTTGCAGAAAAAGTGAATTTTAAATTATTAATTCATTTCAAATAAGTTTTGTTTAAAAATAATAATTATTAATAAAATAATAATAATAAGAAACTAAGTGACAAAATGATTAAAGTTTGTATATATTTTGTGTTTATTTAATGTTTTAAACATTTTTTAAATAACAAGCATTTAGTTTAAAAATTATGATAATGTTAACTAAATATTGTTTTATACTAATGTTTTATACATGCATTTAGGCTGGTATTATGTTGTCATTGTTGGCCATTGTGGGCGCAAATATGATATTAAACTTACGGGACAACCATAACAACAACAACAACAACAATGACGATCACTGGAGATCGCGAGACAACGACGACTACTCACATCCCATACCTTATGCCTTTGGTTACGATGTTAAAGATGACAAACACGGCGCCCAACTGTCCCGTAAGGAGGAAAGCAATGGACACGGATCAGTGCGGGGCAGCTATGGCTACCGGGATGACAAAGGCATTGAACGTCGGGTCGAGTATGTGGCCGACAAAGGAGGCTTCCGGGCCGTAGTCAAGACCAACGAACCGGGAACTGCCAAAAGTAATCCGGCAGATGTCGAGATGTTAGCCGATCCAGTGATCGTCGATTGGGGCAAATGGTCATCACCTCAACGGTCAGATAATTATAAACAAATGCTCTGGTAATCAATCAATCAATCAATCAATCAATCATAACATCAATTGATTAAATGTTTTAATTTAACATTTTTAAAATATAAACTCATCAACTATTAGTATCCATTAAAAATTATTAGTTTTATAATAATTTATGAATATATAAATATATATATAACTATTAATTAATATATTATTGATGATAATTGTATGTATTTTTTTGTTGATAAATACTATATTTTTCTAAAAACTTTTATAATGATTTGCCTAAATGTAAAAATGATTGGATTATAACTATTGTATCACTCATAACTGTATTGTATGTATTTGTATAAATAATATTTAAAGTAATAATAATAACAATAATAAGATTAATAAATAAAAATCTTATAGCAATGTTTTATAAAACAAAATTTTAGTATTTTATTTTTTATATTATATCTTTTTTTAAAAAAATGCTTTAACTTTTATATTTTTATCAATATATTTGAAATAGTGCTAACTTTACTTTTTTTGTTAACTTTTTTATCTTAATTTTTAAACAATTTTCTAATCAATATCCGCTTTATGTTATTTAATATGAATACAGAAAAATCATTAAATTATAACAACTTTTTATCTTTATATTTAAAAAAATAATAATTTATTAAATAATTTTTTAATTTTAATTGTAGATATTTATCATTGTTTTATATACGGCATAAAAATGCTAGTAAAATATTGTATAATATTTATATTATTTAAATTATTTGCTATTATAGAAATTAATGCTTTTGTTGGTAAGAAAATTTTGTTATTGTATTTTATCATTTTTAATTATTAATTTTTAAAAATTGTATAAAAAAATACTAATAATATTTTAAAGAAATCAACAAAAATCAAACAATATTTAACAAACCGCTGCAAAATGTTGTTGACGACAAAAATGGTTATTATATGAAACCTATGGTAACAACTAATTCAAATTATCGACGGGGTATATTTATATTTAAAAAATTTTCATAATTTTTTTTTATATTAAATTTACTAAAATTTTAGATAAATACATTATATTTTTAATTGTATTATTTATTAAATAGCTGCATTTTTCCCCACTGGATATAATCTGAATAACCCTGTACCAAATACTAATACTAATAATGTAAATTACAGAAACAATTATATTCAACCTGGATCAAATAATAATGTACCCAATTATAATAATAATCAAAGTAAGTTTTTATTAGATTATCAAATAATTTTATTTTATATTTTTTAAGGTTTTTAGAATATTTTTTTGTGGATTTCAAATTTTTTTTTATCTATAATATATTTAAAAATATTAATTATATTATATTATAGACATATTAATTAGATATATTAAAAAAATATTTAGAATTATTATAATTTTAAAAATGCTAAGTGTATTAATAAAAAAATATTATTTAAGATAGGTGTATTTAATTTGTTTTTAATTTAATTTAATATATTATAGATATGCCAAAGCTATTAATGAGTAGTATATTTGAAGTAAAGGGTTGTAATGGTCATAATGCCGGCAATTTTACGTCCGTATTGTTTATTGATAGACAACAGTTTTGTACGGCTAATGGATTTACTACACAGACAACTGTCACCGATATTAATACAATAACCGAAAGAGTGGCCAATCAGCTAATTGTCAATGAGTTGCAAATTATTAAAATATTTGTAAACCGACGACCAGGTAATTAATCATTGATTTATATGTAAACTGTGTTTTTTAAAAAAATGTTACAAAATTTTATTGATAAGCAAACTATTGATATTAATAGATAGTTAGTGTAATCCTAAAGTAAAACATTAAAAAGCAATGCTTTTTCATTATCGATAATCAGATATAATTTTATTTAATTAATTAAATACAGTAAATAAATAAAAATATAACAGATATTTTAAAATTATAGAGTAATTGCAATTGAAGTCAATTTTTAAATTAATATTTCATGTTTTTTTTTGATAATCATAATTATTTCATTAACTAATTTTTCTAAAAATTTATCATTAAATATACTATTTATTAATTTATTAGTAGATTATAATAAGATAATAAACATCATGTTTACAATATTTATATAAATTATAAAATTGCACTTTTATTTTACATCAATTCAAAGTTAATTCAATAAACAGATAAGTTATCAAAGTTTAAACTCATATCATAATTATATTGTATTACTGTATATAATTTTATCAATTTTTTATAAATATTAAATTAGATAACAACAATAAATTAATAAACTATTTTTTTGCTAATTTAATTTAATTGCAGGTTATGTAGTATTAGAGATATTAGGACTGTCCAAAAAGGGTACCTATTCATTGGAGGGTAGGTTTGTATTTATACGGGCTTTCTTTAATGAGGGACAGGTAACACAAAAATGTATGGCACAGACAAATACTATAGCAATCAATAGCGATAATATTATACTAAATATTTTGATTATTGAGAGCAATAATTTGATAGTTTGTTGGACACAACCGCATAAATGCTTAGATATTGTCCGCACGATTACAACTACTACTTGTCAGGGAAAGGCTGTTATCGGTTAATACCAAATAAATTATTATTATTATTAAAAATTATATAAAATATTATTAATAATGTTTTTGATTATATTTACTGAAATTTATATTATATCGATCATGTTAAAATTAATAATTTGATAAAAAATATTATTAATATAATTTAAATTTATTATTTAAATGAGAGATAAGTAACAAAAAATGTCGTTGATAATATTGTACTATATTTGTAATAAATATTATTTTAATTATTGTTTAATGTTTTATTAAATTAATAGATATAAATATTACTGTATACTGCATATAAATATATAAAGTTAACCCTAAATTATAAAAAAAACAAAAAAAAATCATAAAATATAGAAATTACTTTTATTTTAGAAATTATTATAATTATTATTATTATTATTATTATTATTATTGCATAATAGATTTTCTAGGATTGATCCAGGGCCATTGTTCGCTTTCGGGTTTAGGTCCTAAATGATCAGTTGGTATAAGACCACCACTACCACCACCACCGTGTGACTCTGGTTGGCCAAAACCTGGCCACTGTTGTTGGCCACCAAAATTGGGATACAGCCAATCTTCGGGATGCGGTTCGTGGTGTGGCGGTTCGGGTCTGGGTCTAGTAGTAGTAGTAGTTGGGCGCCTACTGGTAGTACTAGTTGGGCGCCGACTAGGAGTACGTGTTGGGCGCTGACTAGTAGTAGTTGTAGTAGTTGTGCGCCGAGTAGGTCCAGTAAACAGTGATGTCGATATTGGCGCCCCCTGTGTATTGTTGGCATTATCACTATTAGTTGTGGGCTGTATAGTCATATCGGTGACTGGCGGGCCAGTTGTTTGTTGTCCACCAATTATTGTGGTCGATTGATCGCCCATTACAGTGGTTTGCGGCGGTGATTGTGTTTGTGGCGGTAGTCCTACAGTTGTCGGTGCATTTGGTGCTTCAGTGGTAGACATTTCATTGATTGCAATCGTTGTCTGACTGCTGTCTACTGATGTTCCGGATGTTACCGCAGTTGTCAGTAATATATCGGTAACTGATTTTGTCTGAATAGACAATGTAGTTGAAAGCAGTGGTGCTTTTGTAGGACCTGGTGGTGACGTATCTGTATCTCCATTGTCTGTTGTCGGGGCAGTTGTTGCAATGGTTACGTCAGCCGATGAGGTAGAGTCGGGTATGTCTGTAGTGAATAGTCCGGTAAAAATCGTATTCAGTATTTGTGTTGTCATTAGCGGACTTCTCGTACGAATTGTTGGTCTATTAGTCGTAGAAGTAGTAGTATTAGTAGTAGTGGTGGTAGTAGTAGTATATCTCGGGGGAGGATATTCTGGTATAGGGGGAAACATTGGATGATATTCAGGTACAGCACTGTCATAGTTGTCTTGTTGTTGATGATGTTGTTGTTGTTGGTGATGATGATTATGTTGATTTTGGTTATGACTTGAATATTGATTGCCATTTTGGTGATTATGATGATTGTAATTATAACTTTCACCATAATTGTCTTCATGATGATTATGATGCTCATGATTGTGTTGTTGTTGTTGTTGGTGGTGATGATGATAATTATTATTATTATTCCAAATATTTGCTGGATATTTATTGTTTTGATCTAGATGATTATGATGACCATGGTCATCATGATCATGATGATTAATATTATGTTCATTAAATATTGGATCGGGTTTCCAATGCTGAAGGACATCAGTTAAATGATTTGATTGCGGGTCCAGTATGTCATCCCATGGCTTACTATTGTTATTAGAGTTATCTACAAAATAACAACAAATATTTTAGATAATTAATTTTTTTTTAAATATTTGTAAATTATATAAATTTTAATTTTAATAATATTATACTATTTAAATTGAAGTTATTATTAACAGTGTTTTCCAAAATAGTCAAATGGTTATCAAATTGATTATCACTTAGTTGTTGTTGTTGTTGATTATGATTATTACTGCCATTTGTTGATACCTGTGCCGCATCTATAGGTGACGGCAACCAGATCTTCATAATCGATGGATCACTGGTTTGATTCTCCGCTAAACTACTGATCAAATCTTCAGAGGTGTTGTTGACCTCAATACAAGAAATATCAGTTATAATAATAGTAGTAATTATAATAAATAAAAATAAATTTAATGAATAAAATGGTTTCATTTATGGAAATTTTTGTGTTAATTACAAATTTAAAAAACAATAAAATAATTGTAGAAAAAATATGTAAATTTTTTTAATAAAAAATTATAAGAATAATATATAAAAATTAATAATAATAGTAATAATAATATTGCCTTATAATATTCAGCTGCATTTTAATGACATAAACAGCATATTTTAGTTAATTTTATTTTTTAAAAAAACAAAATGAAACATTATTACATAATTTATAAATTTAGAAATGTGTTAAATTTTGTTGTAAATTGTATAAAAAAAAGTTCATTAGAGTTCACGAATTTTAGTTTTATAAATAATTAGAAAATTATAATAAATAAAAGTTATTTTCTTAACAAATTATATTTTTGTTAAATATAACAAAATAATAGTTTGTATAATTTTTTTGACAATAATCTATTATAAATGTATTTTGCGATTAATAGATATTAATATTTTAAGTTTATTATCTAGTTAAATTTGAAATCTAAATGCATTCAATTAAAAAATATACTGTATATTAACTCAAAGCGTGTCTAAAGTATTATATAAATTATTTTATATAACATTTCAGATTTAAAAAAAAAATTAAATGTATATTTAACATTAATAATTTTTAAAAAATATTTATAAATAAGTTATAAATAAACACCTTTAAAAAATATTAACAAATTTATGAGTTATAAAAATTTTATTATTATATTGTATATTATAATTGACTATGATAAACTTGTAAAATTACAATTATTATTGCAACTAATTATACTATTATTATTGCAACTAATTATACTATTATTATTAATTATAAACTTAAATATTTAACGGCTACAAATATTTATGTTAAATTGTAGATTAATGGTTAACTTTATATACTTGTATAATAATCTTATTAAAAGTTAATATAATTATTTAAATAGAAATTTCATGTGAATTCTAATTTAATTGATAATTGAAAAAAGTTAAATTAAAAGTTGCAACAATTAAACACAAATATATAAAATTTGATTATTATTATAATTACTAATACAGTAATTTGTAATAACTTTATTATAATTATTTAAAAAAAAATCAGTAATCATTACTCAATTTAATTATTATTAATGTTATATCTTATTGTTATTTTTAGGCGACACCACATCCGGTAAGTTGTTTGATCTAATAGTTATTATTGATGTGATTGTGATTGTGGTGATGATGATTATGTTGATGATGAGGAGGTCTAGGTTTGAATGCCCCCCATTGCCATACATTTTCTGTTATTGAATTTGACGGCCAAATAGCCGGTTGTGGTTTGGATGTCGGGGGTGTTGTCTTCATAATTATTAACGGCGGAACAGTTGTCATCAAAATTTCTTCAATATTATCAATGGATGGTTCATCAAAATCATCACTAATAACAATATTAGACTGACCCCCGTCACCCCCATTGCCTCCATCACCACCATTGTTGTCTCCATTACCTCCATTGCCTCCCTGACCACCTGATCCACCATTGCTCGCTGTGATATTTATTTGTCTATTTAAGGGATCTGTTGTTATATCAATCAAACAATTGATGTGATAATACTGCCATTGATTCAATACATAACATATAATAGCGATATTACCTAAATTTAAAAGACAAATAAATAGTCTCTTCATTATAAAATAAACACAAATTAATTATATAATAGACTGGTATTACTATATTTTGCTTAACCGGTATATTTAAAAGTAATTACTTATAGTATTATATTATGTAAAATAAAATTATTTAAATATGTTTGTACTGATAAATTGTTTTTTCAGAATCATAAAAAACAATTATTAAAAATTTAACATATTTTATAAATTTAATAATTAAATATTATCACAATTTGTTTAATAAAAGTAATTTGAATAAACATTTATTATTTGTAAATCTAAAGCATGTGATGACAAGTATTGCGATAAAAACAACAAAACAATTATTGTTTTCATCGTTCAGTAAATGAATGTTTGAAATGTTTTTCCAACAAATCAAGAGATTATTAAATAAATCACAATTTAAGTGTGATTACAATAACTGTAATAAAAGTTTAGATCAATTAAGACATTTAATAAAACAATAACTAAGTTTATTTAAAAACAAAATTTTTCATAAAACAAAAAATTAAATTTCTGAAAAAAATAATACAAAACATAATAATAATGATAGATCTGATACTTTATTTTCTTTATACATCTATTATAAAATGTTCAAGTCTATTATATACAAAAATTAATAATTTATTATAATTATTATTTATTATATTTATTTGCATTATTATCTTTATTTTAGAGAAACCTAGGGTTAATACGATTAGCATAATAGTGTTTGTCGACTATAGGGTACAAAACCGGCGATTGTAAACCCAAACCGTTTGCCAGCCATTAGTTGACCTCTTAATTGCCGGTATTGTCGATAACACGACTCCGACATACAGTCAACTCTTTTATCCAATTTTTCATTAATTTTCTGTAAATCTAAAAAATAAATAAATATATTTTCATCTTTTAACGAATAATCGTTAAAAGTTTGTTTAAAAAATAAAATATTTTGGATTAGATTTTTTTAGTGGACTTTCGCTCTCAATCTTTCGGCAAATCAATCGCTCGGCAAAAGTCGGGGACTTATGGTTTCCGTCGAGCGGTAACCTTATGTCACGTCATGTCTCTTAAGACAAACAGTTTGAATATTTCGTCATTCGGGTCACAAACGTATAAAAATTGATAAAAATTAGTCTTCGGTTATTTTGGAAACTATTTTTCGATTTTTAAAATTATTTATAAATCGTTTAATTTTCAAAATTAAAAAAATATAATACAGTGAATAACAGACAAATTCAATTAATAACGTGATTATATAAAAAAATTCAAAATAAATAAAAATTTTTATATCTATAATATATTTGATATTTATTTAAGCATTTCTGTTTGAAATCGATTATAAATAATTACTGTATATTAATTATTTTTTTATATTATAATTTTCTTTAATTAACTTTATTATGTATTGTCATTTATTATCCTATACTGGGTACAAAATTTTATTCCTTAAATATTTGAAAAAATAAATAAATTTTAATATTAAAAATGTTTTTGTTTTAATTAATAAAAACATTCATTACTTTTTTCAATTCTTAAGTGGTTAATCCCATGAATCGATGCTTTTTTCCTTAAATATTAAAAAAAAAAATATTAATAATAAAAATGTTATTTTGTTTAAAGTCATAAAAACATTCATTACTTTCTTCTCTCATTTTCTCTTCATATTCTTCTCTTTCTTTTTCAAGTGCCTGTCGTCTGGCAATAACATCCGGATTATAATGATTTGCTTTTTTGATAATAAATTATATTAAATCAATGAATAAACAAAAAAATACTTAAATTTTAAATAAATTGTATGCATTTGTTTGGATGGAATGGGAATGAGTATAGGAAACAAAAAAATAAATAAAAATAATTACAATTGTATCTAGACCATTTATATTTATTATCTTGGACAGTTTCATCTCCTGAGTGATCATAATCAGGTTCAGCTTCCGTTGGCCAGGGATGGTTTCGTCTATATTGTCTTTCCCACGCATCCCCCGCTAATTATTAATAAAATATAGATAATTAAAATGATAATAATAAGTTAAAATAATTTTTTCAAAAATATAACACTTATTTTAACATTTCCTTGTTTTTTATATTTTTGTTTATTTTAAAAAAAGGATATAAATTACTTGGATCATTTCCACCAGTGTCATAACTTCCTAATAATAAAAAAACAAAATTGAAAAATTATATTTCAAAGATATTTTGTTGTTTTGTACTTGATTATTTTATAATTAAATCAATAATTAACAAAAAATTTTTACCTTCCCTTTCTTCATTATCTTCTCTGGTTATTCTTGATACTATTTTTTTATCAAAAATAATGTTAAAAAATTTTTATTTAATTAATAAAATAATTTTTAATAATTTATATTAACTTACATAAAGAAATAATAATTGCAATTAAAATCAAAATAAATTTACAACCAAACATTTTTAATCTTTGTTTTTTTTGATAATTTAAAAACTAAAACCTATTTAAACAGTAAATAAATCAAATATCTGCTTCAAATATTTTTAAAAATGCAATAATATGTATATTTTTATTGAAATTTGATATTAAAAAAATAAATTATTTTTAAATTTGCTCTTTTATTGATGAATTACTATAAATTTATTAAATTATCTTAATTTAATTAATAACTTTATGAGATGGCATTAACGATTTATTATTATAAATTAATTTTCGCCAATTTAATTTTAAAGTTATTTGTAAATATTAGTTAATAGCAAGCGATATAGCTTTAAACGTAAATATAATTTTAATTAAATAAATTTGTAGAAATTCATCAATAAAAAAGCAAATTTAAAAATAATTTATTTTTTTAATATCAAATTTCTATAAAAAATGCATATTTTATTGCTATTTTTAAATTATATAGAAGCAGATGTTTGATTTATTTACTGTTTAAATAGGTTTTAGTTTTTAAATTATCAAAAAACCAAAAGATTAAAAATGGTTGGTTGTAAACTTATTTATATGTTTTAATGTTGTCTGTAACCACAGTCAGATCTGATACCCAATTCAGATCTGACACATAATTCAGATCGGACACCACATTCGGATCTGATACCCAATTCAGATCTGACTCTAATTCAGATCTGACTCTAATTCAGATCTGACTCTAATTCAGATCTGACTCTAATTCAGATCTGACTCTAATTCAGATCTGACATTACAGTCAGATAAGACATTACAGTAACATCTGACAATGGAGTCACATCTGACACCGGAGTCACATCTGACACCGGAGTCACAT